AATTTTTGTCCCATCCAAACCCCTACACCCCCCCCCCCTTCGCACATTACTGTATTATATACAATATTTCTCATTATTTCAAAGTCTCAACACTTTCTGTGATAATCGATAGTCGACTTCTGAAAATGTAACAGAATTGATTTGCATCGAAAATGCTGGTTTAGATTTAAAAATCTGTAAGAATTACCGCGATTTTTGAATTATTGTGAGTTTATTACAGTAATTTGCATGGTTATTTAAATTATCGTATAAATGCATGAATTATAAAAAAATGTGATACACACTATTTGACACATTATCATTCAATTTTTAATACAATGCGATTCGACTTATTGAAACTCCTACATGAGTACAAGCCATTATCATTTGGGAAGCTATATGTGTGCATACAGATAAAAAAAAAACAATTTTGAAATGTTATTCTTTGAAATTATAATACTTCGTACACATGGCTCAACTGGAAACGCTTTAAATGTTCGATTTTAATGTGACACAAAATCTTTATAATAACTGAACTGACCAATATATTATTGGAAGAACGTTTTTCATGCCGTGTACATTCACAAATATTCGTCGTCATAAAAACGCACTAATTTAAACTAGACATTGAGTAAAAACTTCAATGCTGGTTTCTTATATATAACTAAAATCTATTGAGATTAAATTGTGCACCGTATTAACCTGAAAAAGCTGAGTGTGAAATGCCGATGCACTTTGTTAGACTTGCTTTTAGACTCGGGCACATGGACGTTTGGCGTATGAAATCAAAAATGAAACTGAATATACTAAACCATATGAACATTAAAAACACAACCAATCCAGTCGCCACGGGAGTTAATATGTGTCTAGATAACATGTGATAAATACTTGCCAATTTCAACAACAATCTGTATCACAATGTGGACATTGAATATGTCAACAACACATTTTCGTAATTCCTACATACACACTGAGTTGAATCGAAAGCACTTTAAATGTAAATGTATGAGTTGCAAGCACGCATAATCATATGGAGATGAAATAAAACGGCCGATTCGATGCAACCAGACAAGTTTTAGTAAAGCGGTTGAAATGTACTTACGAAAAGATATTTTTATTTGGTTGAAGAAGAGGTCAGAATTGAGCAATCGAATTTAATGTTTTTTTCATTCAATATGAAGAAAGAGTTGAATGTTGTACAAAGATTAATTTGATGATAACAACGGTGTCAATTTAAAAATACTTATCAGGTCTTATGTCGAATTCCTCATTTATTATCAAACGTTTAATATCGGTTGTATATTAAAGAATATTTAGTGAAAATTATTTGAAACTGATGGATTTACTTGTCTTCTTATCATATTATCAATACAGTAAATAATTTCAAAGTACTACATTTTTGTACATAGTACCATTTTAGTTTCAACAATGATAACGTTTGCTATCGTTTGAATTTAAATCATGAAAAAAAATCATGGTTCACTGTCACCACTCCCGCGGATGACCACTTATCCGTTTTCGCCACGGCAAGAAAATTATTTTACTCGTGATTCGCGGATAAGATGACAGCCTGTTTTACAACTACAGATAAATTAAGGAAAAAACGATAGATTATACATTGCAACATACATAGTTCACATTCACACTTTGAATCAATTGATAGTTTCTTTTTATCTATCACGGAGGATAGCAGTCCCCCAAGTGACGCAGTGCCAACATACATATGAATCGGTCAGAATATTCGTGAGCTCAGGAAATTTGTCAAAGTAAAAGTGCAACATGTTCATATACAAAATGTATGGACAAGTTGCAGTTTTATTTTGACAAATTTTGAAGATCACGAATATTCTACAATAGCTGGTCCATATATTTTAATGCGTCACTCTATTTATACGCTAAATACATGAAAATAGAAACCGCTGATCTTTGGAAAGGTATTTTTTAAATGTTGTAATTGGGATTTAGCTCAATTAAAAAAAGTCAAATTTTGAAAAAAAAAATGGAGAAAATGTCCTGTTTTTCGATTGTTGACAACCAACATTTTTTTTCAATTTTTTTAGGGATAATGTTAAAATGGAAATAACATGATCGTTGAAAAGTGGCCAAGATATGGCTATTTCACCAAAAATCCCCAAAACCTCAAAATTGATCGAATGTGTGTTTCTCTGTCCTTCTTTAATGTGAAATAATATTTTTCCGAAAGTAGATAATTTCCAATTTTTAAAAAAATTCGTTACCTCTGTTATTTTGGTTTGGGGCCGAACATTTTTTAGAGTTTTTTGAGTTTTTCGTCAATCAGATGTTTTTCTGAAAGGTAGTGCAATGTTTCGTTGGAAATATACGTTTTTAATAATATTAGCATTCCTAAGTTCAAAAAATGTTCGTCCATTTTTAATTTTTTTCCATTTTTGATCCAAGGCATACAGGTGTTTTTCAACTGATTCACACCAATTTGGCCTTGTTGGAAAGATATTTGGCTCTTTTTGAGAAAGCAACAGATCAGTATCAAAAAAATATATGATTAGTTTGAGTCGTTATAATTTTCAACAACCAACATTTTTATTTTTGGTAAAAATCGAAAAATTATGAACTTAAGTGATCACTTGTGTTGTAATTTTTCCGTAATTAACTAAAATGAGCTAGGTTTTTAATATTTTGGTTCGCTGATCTTATATAATTCAGACTCAAAAAATTCAACGTTGGCAAAGGTTTTGAAAAATCGATTCGATTTTCGACATATGAAATGATATTTTGCAATACAAAAAATATATAAAACGTTGCAATACATTGTGATCTTGGAATTTCGTGTACTTCCCAAGGAACAATTGTTAGCGCAAATCACCCATTACCAGGCCCAAGTTTACGGTCGAATTTGGGGTAGCATTCATGTGTAGTTTCAGTCAATTTTACCGTCGCAATGGAAAGAAAAAAAGAAAAGAAAGCACAATTCAATTAGACTGATATGAAGAAATTGACTTGATTCATAATCATCATTATGCTATTGTATATGCAATAGACTCCACTTACCGAGTACAATTTATACCAAGAGGTACTCGTACTTTGGCAAGGCCACAATTTAATCAAGCCTAGCGAACTAACAAATAATTGTTATAAACTAATTTCTAAATTTAGTATTGTTTGAATGTTGTTGAATGAGGGCTGCTACTACTGCGGCTGCAGATGTCCATTGTTGACATTCTGATTCTGACCTCGATACAACGGCAATGGCTGATTGTTGTCAACGCGGCGTGGTCTCCGTACATTTGGATGAATTGTCCGCTTGAACACCACGCATTCACCTACCGAATGATACATAACAAAAACACATTACATGTATAACAATTGCTTCAAAATTTGTATCATTTTCAATTGATTGCATACCTTTGTAGAGGATCAGCTTCGCTGCTGCGATATCACGGTGCCATACAGTTGTGAGCGTTGGTTGTGCTCCGGCAGCTCCCTCGATTTCAACGTTTGCAACATTTGGTAGCCATGTTTTGAAGAAGCGTTGCTTCTTTGACACCAAACGACCTGCATTCGGTCCATCTCGAAGAGTTGCAGCAATGACATCGCCTATATCACGCATCTCGCGCCACATTCGTTCAATTGTTCGTCGCATTTGTAGTAATCGTTTGCTCACATTGGTTACGATGGTTCGTGGTAGTCCAACAATTGGATTCGGTACACAACCAACACATACCTTATACCGATGGCTTCGAGTTGCTACTGGAAATCGTTTGAAGCACAATGGACAATGTTGTGATGTCATGTACTCATCGACCATTCGAATGATGCAATTGCCACGTTTCATAATGGCCGCAAGCAGCTTCCGTGTGCCTGGACATCGCACATGTTTCTTGATCTTAATCGGCGAATTAGCTGGTGTTGATCCGCTGGCTCCCATGTAGAAAATTGATGGTTGATTGTGAACCATTTTGCATGCCGTTTTGTCGATTGCACGAACCGATTCGATATGCTTGTCCAGTCCCAAGCGTGCATACTGTTTGGTTGAGTATGTTTCAATGCCATCATTCATTACACGTAATCGATGTTCAATGTACGAACGCCATGATGGTCCTTTTGGCGATGGCATTTCACCAATCATAGCTGCAATTCGATTACGATCGGCTTGCTCTTCGAAAGTAAACAATCTTGTGATTCGTTCGGCTTTTGCATTACGTCGGCCTTGTTTCGCATCCCAGTGATATCGCTTGCTGGATATACGCAAATTCACCTAACAAAATGAAAACAACAAAAACAACATTGTATTCACAATCACAATCGCTTTCATTCATTATTAAATGACAAATTTACCTCTTCTTTGGTATGCAAATCTCGTCGTACGGAAGCGTTCCACGTTCGCATACCCGGATCACATCCAACAGCATATTTCAACTCATTGCTGTCATACATTGCCTTGATTTCGTCATCTGTTGTCTCGACTGGTGGTACTTTCGGTTTTTTGTACATCAACGATACAGATACGCCATCGGAACAAATTTGAGAATCGAATTCCTTTTTGTTGTGCACAAGTTTGAGAATTTTCTCCACATCGAAGAATAAATTCCAACTTAGGATTTTATTTGTGCGGAATTCGTTGCTCGTGATGTTTTTGAAATTTGTTGTTCCGTCTTTACGTGTCCGTTTACCGCACTTTCGAGGCACCAATTTCGCATTCGATAGGATAACGTACAATGCGTCGGTGTCAATTCGAATGTGTCGACGCTGAAAAGTGCACATCGGCACAACGACAAAGTTTTTTATTTGTGGTTTATCGCGACGATCTTCGTATGCAAAGTGAAAGTTTCGAATATCGCGCTGAATTTCCGACCACATGCGAATCGACTTGAACCAATCCTCTTTCACAAAGTCACGGATATTGCAATCGTCCGGTGCTCCCAACCAACGCAATTCATCCAATAGTTCACCCAATCGCATCTCACGTTCAACGTCGCCAATTGCGGTGTTTCGACGACGATAAGTATAATTGATGGCATTTTTTATATCTTCCTCGTCGTAGTATGGCAATTCGAATTCGATCATACCGTACAAATTGTTGAAATAATTGTACTTGATGGCGTAGTCGTTGAGTTCGAATGCTCTCATTTTAAAAAACTTCCGCAATCGAGACTCGCAATGCGTTGTCAGGTTCGTTTTGACATTGTCGTAGTACTAATCCCATATATATTTAAAACCGTTCCCGAACCCACCGTTTGTGGGCCAGTCAATGTGTGCAGCGTCTACAATGTTGCGGAAACCAGGTAACATAAGCGATATGTTACCAATGTTATCGACAAGAACGGCCTTAAAACAGTTGTGTATGATCGTTGATGGTTCATCGGTTTCAAAAAAATCATAGTTGAAATCGTCGAGTGCTTCATTGACCTATTCAAGAAACACAGAACACATAGAGAGAGAGAGACAAACAATCAAATCGATTCATATAAATACAATGGATCGCATAGTGCCGAAAAAATGATGAAATAATGACGAAAAATAAAATTTGGTCAAAGAAATGTGTGTACTTACCTTCATCAAAAATAGTAACGATGCAAGGCATGCGATCTTCGTAGCCTTCACCGATAAGTACGAAATGATTGCGACAATTACATCCCGATATCGTTCACGGATAATTGATGGCAGTCCTTGCTTTATACACCTTTGGTCGGCGTTTGGATCAGCCTTCTTGTGACGACCCATTTTGCAGTCTATTTCAAAATTTAAAAAAAAAAAACGGAAAAAAGAAAGAAAAAATGCGTTAAATAATTATATAAACAATTGAAGGCTACACACAACGTCAAATCGCAATTTCAAAGCACAAAACACACAATAGAGAGTACAACAATAACAATGATTGAATGGCCAAACAGTTTAAATCTACTTGCCTTGTGAGGATTTTTCGCTAAACTGAATTCGATTCGCAATATTCGACAGTCAAAAATCCAATGGCATCAAATTTGAAGTTAATACACAGTCAAATTCACACAACAAAGACATATAAAATGAAGAATGCACTTCCACACAAATAAAATGAACTTCCTATCAATTCGATACAAAATACACTGTAATGCCGCTTTGATTTCTTACTGTGTGACTTTGGAAATGTTCTGTTATTTTAAAAACAAAACAGGAACAAGCACAAAATTCACCGTAAATAAATCTATTCTTTGCAAATTCACAATATCTACGTTGAAATTAGAAGAAAGAATTCTGTTTGTTTGAACTAAAAATCCACTATGCATTCTCAAAACAAAGCACATTTTAAAATGTAAACAAAATTATGATGTTTGCATCTTTTTTCAAAGTGACGATGGTTGAACGGCAACTGTCAAATTCAATTCGAATGTCTTTCAGATTTCGAAATTCGAAATTCATATACGTTCATTTAAAAAAATAAATGCTAATTGCCGTTTAAAAAAAATTCTTTTGCAGAAAATTAAATCAAATCACTCAAATCTAATTCGTTTGCAGAGAATGGATTTTCTTGTGGTAAATAAATCATTAAATTTGAAATACAAAAACTTAACGTACAATACACATATTGGGTGGCGATCATATTATACGGTCAGAGTATGTTTTTGTATGGTACGTAGGCGACTATTTAAGTTTCTTCAATATGTATGTTTTAGTATTGCCCGATGCAAACCATTGTCATATTCGTGAAGTTGGACATTTTTCATGACCATTTGACTTAACAGGACGAATTTTAGTTTTGTGGTATGGCTTCGACAGCAGCTTAAACATGACACTCCAAAAAGTGCACTTTTTTGAATATGCACCTAATTTCAAGTACGAAAAATATATTGTATCCAACTGATTTTGGTCTCTGGTGGACAGAGGGGTCCCGAATAATATGTACACGGAGTATTGTGCATCAATTCGATCTTTTGGGTGGTCAAATAGTCGACTGTTTGATGGGCTTCTTTTTGCCATGTTTTGGGATTATAAGTTTCAGAGTTTTGGTCTCCATATTCCCGTGATGACTTTTGACAATCAAATGGTTGTGTACTATTCAGCATTGAAGGACCTTTCATCCTCTTAAGGCATGGTAGCAACATGACACATAACACTGTAAAATAATGAGGTCCGATTTTCCCTATCACTTCACAAACGAACAACTCTTGTTCGATTGTGTTCATGTTTGAAGACTCAGAGAGTCAACCAAGTTTTTGTTTCAGGTCCAAACTACTGGAATCATGTCTTGGCTTCTATTGCGATCGTATAGACGTGTTTTTATTATCCTATGTAAAATTGGTTATGATTTTTTGGATGTGATTAAAATCAATCGATTTTTGAGCAACTGTGGGTTGACACGTAAAGATTTATTTTTTTCATGTTGTAATTCATGGAAGAACCAAATGATTGGAGTCTCTGTGATCCTTGGGCATACCACAATTTAACTGTAAAAGAAACTTCGATCCTAACTCAATCGGCACCAAATTTTTTCTCGATGACATCAATTTTCGAAGGACCATCGCGCAATTGATCACTGTAGCGAGCACCATGACGATGGGATTCAGTGAACCAGTTGTATACAGTGGCAAGGCATGGTATTTCCTTCCCATACCCCGACTTGAGTCGGAAGTAATACTGTTGAGCAGGCAGCTCTTTTTGAAAACTTATGAGAAATAATCTTTTTTGTAAATTTCATTTTTTTGCGAAGTTGACCTTTTCCAACTGACACCGTGGCCATACCACAAAACTAAAATTCGTCCTGTTAAGTCAAATGGTCATGAAAAATGTCCAACTTTACGAATATGACAATGGTTTGCATCGGGCAATACTAAAACATACATATTGAAGAAACTTAAATAGTCGCCCTCGTAGTAAACAAGTGGAACGAATCATTCCATTGGAAGTTGTAAATATACTGGAAACTACACACAAAATCTACGTTCCATTTGACACGGAAATGACCACTAAACCGGGCCAAAGCGTTACATTTTTTAACGTTAAAATGTCCTAAAAACGTTACATATTTGTCCGTTGGGTTATTTATTAATATTGATCAAAATACTATTGATATAAGTACAAAACGCTTCTTTAGAAGTTCTCATTGCGATGCAATGCTGCAAATCTAAAAATGTTGTGATATAAATTTTAAGTGACTTGTGTTATTCTCTTTAGAAACATGGTAAAACAATTTGTTGTCCTTTTTAGACTAGGAGCTTTCTTCATTTGTAACGTTCTATGCTCGCAAAATAAAAATACAAATGCTGATCGTTAGTCGACGGGCATAGATTAGAGATAAATACATACTTAACGTATTTTCAAATTGAACCGTATATTTGTCGCCATCCCGCGGATACATTGTGAACTAACTAGTTTGACGTTTAACATTTATTTATTCCGTGCATTTGTTTTTGTTGGAACAAAGTAAATTCAATATTATAACATACAGCATTTCCACAAATTGTGTTTTATTTTCATAATGACTCGTCACGCAAGAAACTGTACCGCAGGAGCAGTGTACACATACCACGAGAAAAAGCGAGATGCAGCCGAATCTGGATATGGAACGAATCAACAGCGAATTGGTAAAGATTCTGTAAAAAATTTTGATTGTTGTTCATTAACACTGCAACCGTGTCGAAATCCAGTCATCACGTAAGTATTCCAATTGTTATTGCTGTTGTTTTGAATAATTTCGAAATAATCATGAGTAATTTATCATTCCAATGTAGTAAAGATGGATATTTATTTGATAAAGAAGCCATATTACAGTACATCATAACAAAGAAAACTGTATATGCAAAGAAATTGAAGGAATTTGAACGCCAAAAGCAAATGGATCTGACTGAAGAAGCTGAAGCAAATGCTTTAGAAGAGCACAAAAAACTCATGAGGTTCATCAACACGGAGAAAAATATTGTTGCATCAAAATCAGGTGTGTATTTATCATTTTATCATTCAGAATGGTAGTAATTATATCATGATTTTGTGTTATTTTACAGCCATTGCAAGCACAAGTGCAGGACCATCCAGCATTTCAAATATGTCAAATGGCAAAGAAAAAGAATTACCGAGTTTTTGGTTGCCATCACAGGCACCATCCGCTAAAAAGACAAAAGTCGATAAACCCGATTCGACCATCTTGTGTCCGGTGTCTCAGCAACCGATAAGAGCAAAAGATTTGATTGATGTTAAATTTACTTTGGTACAAGATCCAGATGACAAAAAATCATTGATTACTAAAGAGAATCGTTACATGTGTGCAGTGACACATGATATTTTAAGTAATTCCGTTCCATGCGCTGTTTTACGACCAACGTAAGTTGAATAACTATCCACTTCTAACTTAATAATTTCATCAAAAATGTCCATATTTCTCTCGATCATTTTATCGATGCAGAGGCGACGTTGTCACCATGGAATGTGTGGAAAAGCTAATTAAAAAGGACATGCTACATCCGTTAACAAATGCAAAATTGAAGGAAAAAGATATAATTCCGCTACAACGGGTATGTTTAGTTTTCCATTTAATATTTCGCTTAAAGTGTTTATTTAGATACTAATTTAAATCTTTTTGAAGGGCGGCACTGGCTACTCGACCACAAATTCAGATCTTGAAGGTAAAGAGAGACGACCGGCTCTCATGTCGTAGACGTTTGGGTTTTTTTGAAATTAAAGCCCTTCACCACCTGACTTGCATAAAATTTTAAATCAACGTTTTATTTTCATCATATTCCGTATTAGTTTTTTATGCGAATAAAATAAAATCATTTAAAACAAAACATCAAAAGTGGTTTCTTATTCCATTTTCACACTTTTCAGTTTTACTTATTTACAGTGTAGCGCATAAAAATATGTATGCATTTTGTGTCGTGTGCACATTATATGTTCTCTAATTGTGATTCAAACTAAAATGACAGTGTGGTCACATTGGTGGAAATGCCTGAATTAGCCGTCTCATTCAACAACATTCTGACCATGCAAAAAAAACATATCCATGATTTAATAATTGATGACCTTCATGATGTAATTTTTATGAAAATTCCCTGATAAAAGTGCAAAAAGTGCATTCAAATCGGTGCACGAGATCTTACATTTGTCCAGTGTGTTAAATAAATGCGGTTGTGTAAGAATGTGCTAGCTATTTAATATAAATAATATCTCTTTTCAGAATCTTTCGACAGTTCTTTTCAAAGGTACACTGCATTTCAGCAATAAACCGTTTGTAATTCAATACATTCGACTGTGGACGATTTCATAAGAAATTTAGTTTCGGTCGAGAACGGCTACAACAGAACAGAAAAAACGCACACCGTTTAATACGTTTATTGTGTGCTTGGCCGTGTCACCGGATACCGTGACAAACACTTTTTTTTTACATTAATCATCACATTCAAGAAAAAGTAAATTAAATCAGCAGACTATTTTACCTTTTGATATTACAATGATTTTAGTTTTGCTGATTATTTCAAAGCGTGCACAGTACAACGCTCCAGAATATATATGTACAAAATCCTGATTTATGATCAATATTTCAAAATATATCTATTCAGTGCTTTTATTATAATGCAGATGGATTGAATACTATCACATTGAAAAAAAAAAAAAGAAAGCCAACTTCATATTTAAAAAAAAACTGTAAGAAATAACAAAATAATGAAGAAATGACAGAATAATTGGTGTGCTCAAAGTGAATAAAGTGTTGATTTTCCATTTGTTTTGTGAATTTCTTATTTATTAAGTTTTGCTGCGTCCACAAATTGCCGACCAATATCGTTGTAAGGAAGAAGCTACACGTGTTGCTACGTCTTATATGTTTTTCAGAGAGGGAAACCCCGAATTCGCGTAGCCGTTCGAAGGATTGACGATTGGTAAGAAAGGAACTTAATACATTATTTACTCAGATGACGATTTAGTTAAAAGAAAGTTGGACACAATTTTCCATTTTGGCGTATGAGATTAATAAAATGTTTGTAAATTAAATTTATAGCAGGTCAATATTTACATTCGAAAAAAAAAATCACGAACATGACTTGTTTTTTTTTCAGAGCAATATTCTACGATTGTTAAAAAAAATCCGTTATAACCAGAAATAATTAAATAAATTGTCATTATACGTTTGAAAAAACGTTGTTTCTATCGCAAATGAGAAAACAATTGCAGACCGACTATTTAGAGTTTCTGATTATATCATTATTTTCATATAAAAACGAGCAAACGAGAGAGAGAAAGAGAGAGAGAGAGAAAAAAATGATGGCCGAGAAATGAACGGTTCAATAAGCAATTCATTCAGCTTGTAAGATTATGATTACGATTTTTGTGAATTTCTTTTCGGTTTCATCAAACCTATTGATATTACGGAGCATCCATGGGGGGTGCAAAATATTTTGAAACAAAGATGTCAGAAACAGAACCACATGCATATGAATCAAACAAAACGGGTTGCTTGTCAAATTATTGAAATAATGGTGATAGTAAGCGATTTATACCCATATATTTATGACTGAAAGTTTGTTTTCGTTCTCATTGTGTAAACACTGCACCGGTTTCAAGCATTATTAAAATGTGTCTCTCCCCTTTCATCGCTCAATTCAAATAAAAAAAACTGAATGTATTGCATTTATTACCTGCACAGAATATTGAATTGCACGTCTGCGTAAGCATTTGATAAGATGTAAGAGTGGAATGTGAAAAACAGCAAATAAAGTAGCAACAGCAACAGGACCATCGACATAACAAAAATACGTTGAAAGGACAGGGGTTCCGTCGAAAGAAAAACATAACAACAAAAGAGCGAATATAATGAAATAAAAAAACAAAAGGCTAATAAAAAGTACAGATTGTTATTTAGTTCTATGTTTTAAATCAATGTCATGTATCCATACCAGTATTTGAAACAGACGTTTCTTTTCCATCTTCATCTTTTTTTCTTTCATTCACAACATTTGCGAATAAGATGCAATCATCTCATTATGACGTGACAATCTATAGATGTTTTTGGTCAAAGAGAAAGAAAAAAAAAAGAATTTCTCAAAGAAATCGGTTATTCTTTTTCTCCCATTTTCTTTTACTCCCACTGAACCATTGTCGCATGAATTTCGCGCGTCAGTGATTGTTTTGTTTTTACCAATAAAAATAAGGAACCATGACATCATATCTTATGTATTCCATAAAAAGAATTGATGTTTTAAAGAAATTATTCAACTTTTAATTAGATCACTATGCGATAACAAATGTACATAATTTGGAAATGTAGCATACGGTTAAACACGGAAACATCGTGGTGGGCATCCATACAAAGACGTCATATATATAGATTGAATGTGTTGCTGCAGCAATAGCTGACTAACAACTGATATCAATTGAAAATCATCATTATTATTATCGTTTCTCGTTGTGTTGGACACAAAAGCTGTTACATTCGACACCTGATCTCTCTTCACTACCACGACACGTATATCTTCAATGATATGTTTGTGAAGACGCAAAATATGTTCATCAATATATAGATTTTGTATGAAATAAAATAAGTAAATCAAATATCCCCTCGAATCGTTGCATCCACGGTAATCTGAAACGTAATTAGATTGGGTGTACAATTATTTTTATTCATTTTTATTTCACCACAAATAATTAGAAATAAATTGGCTACGCAAAAATAGTGAAGACAAATAGTGTCAAATTTGAAGGAAAAGTTAAGTAAGACGAACCCAATGAGCCAGTAAGCAATCGGATACATTGATCTCGTTCGCTGTTGTTACATGGTTAACATTTTAATTAGAAATCAAATAGATGTAATCATGTGAAATGTGTATTTCATTTCTTCCAGTATTGACCAGAAAAAGAACAAATCCGGTTAAATATAGGCTATGTGTTTTGGATAGATATCCATCCGAGATATTTTAGAATATCTGGATATTTAACGCAACTGCACAGATCCAGAGCTGTGTATGTCTCACATATAACCTACGGTAAGTCGCTACACGAAAAATACAGACACAGTGTGACTGTGTACGTGCGGCACTTGATACACATATACGTAGCGACCTACCGTAGATTCTATTTGCGACGCACACAGCTCTGGCGCTGTGCAGTTGCGTTGAATATCCAGATATTCTAAAATATCTCGGATGGATATCCATCCAAAATACATAGACTGAATATAGCTAGTCAATATACAAACGATATCAATTTATTTAACAAACATGATTACAAAACAACGGCCGAATCAAAAACCAACGGAATGACAATGGATTTTGCAAACGAAATCAGTTTTAATGCAATTAAAAAGAGACTTTCCCTAATCGTCAATCATATTTCATATATGCACATACATACATGACTGAGTCTGTCAATTAGTAAAACGGTCGTTTACAAAAGGTCCGACGTTTGCAGATTTTTTTTCACGGAATGGGATGCGTGTGAATGAAAAAAAACAAACATCAGAGGATAATGCTTCGACGTTAATTAATCAGGAATATCGTTTTTCTGCAAGATTTATAGTAGCTTTGACTGTGGGCTCATCCACACACCACATCGTTTATTTTTGTTCCGATAATATTTTTTTGTATGTGAAAATTGGCGCGATATTCATGACGAATGACGAAAGCATGAAAATGGGTTAGTTGCATTGTTTTACATTTTAAATGAATCTACATAGAATGATATTGCAAAAGAGATAGTTGCCACTATTCACTTATAAATGTCGTCATAACGTTGATTGTGATGTTTTCCCAAATCAATTTTCATCGAGAGAAATCCAATTAAATTTATTGAATTTTGATAAAATAAAATATATCCAATAATGTTACTTCGCGGAAGTAAGAGAGCTTTCGTATTTTTGTTACAGCAAACTCTTTTTGTTGAATTCAATGAAATATTTTATTTAAAAAAAAATTGATGTTAATACCAACAGCTTAAAATCGTATCGGATTGAAAATCAGATCAATGGACAATTTTTACATTTTCAATTTTTTGAACTCATCTTTTCTTGGTCGACATAAATCTGTAATTCAAATTGTATGAAATATTTGTGATTTTTAGTGAACTCATAAAATGCACATATTGATGGCAAACTTTTAACATTTTATTTACTTTACTACACGCTACCATCAAAATATGCAGCTTCAACGTCCTAATTTATATGCAACTTCATTCCGTTCAATATTATTTAACTATTGCATTTTAATACTGCATACAGAGAGTTCAACATCAATTCGGGCGCTGTTACCAGAATTTTTGTCATTCGCTAACAGCGTACCATGTCAATTGTACGATTAGCGTAAATTTGATAATCTGCTTATAACAGTATAAATAATGATTCACATTATACATCAAAGCATTTGAAATTCTCCAATGGGCAATAATGGGCCAAGCTTAACACTCAAATCACAAAACAGATCGAATTGAATTTTAAGGCTACGCAAAAATGATATCCTTCAAATCAAAATACGAACAAAATACAAAATCGATTTCGCAGTCAAAGTTCTATTTGTAATGATGAATTTATAAGCACATCAATATAGCCAAACAAATATCAATATAAGATTCGAACGTAACAGGAAATTGACAGAAATCAAATTCTATACAACGAAATTGTTTACATAGATTTTGTAACTTTTTCAATGAGTGCACCAAGTGTTCCTCTTTGGTGAAAGTTCAACTATCACACATATGGCCTAGTATTTTATTTATAATCACAAATATATTTCGTGGCATTTTTATATATAGAACGGATTTTCATCAAATAATTGGGGTAATAAAGACAGCTGAGCCCACAAAAATAGGGTCAATCAAGTAAGAATTTGTATTCTTCAATCGATTTAAAAAAAATACAATACCGAAATATTATCTAACATTTGAAAGAATAATTGATAACACGATTCCATTCATACATGAGAAGAATAAATTATTATGAAAAAAATCTTGCTTCAAAAATAATCATAATTATTCACAAAAACAATCTTTGTTATTATTCTTCATTCTTCGGCAAGAAACATTTTAGTTTCTATTTCAAATAGTTTCTATCTTATTAGAAATAACTGTTATTTAATAAATAGTTATGGTGTTGATTACTAGAACATATATTCCTTAACATATTTTTTAAAAAAAATTACAACGAATACTTTAGCATATATCAGCAATTGTGTTTGACTGACATAATAAAATGAAGAAGAAAAAAGAATAAAGAAAAAAAGGCGATACGTACGTATATGAACGGTAGTATATAGAATTGTGGTGGAAATGTGTGTGACTTAATGGAAATATATGTCCAACCCCTTTTTTTCATTCGATTATAAGCTACCTGTTGAAAATACTCGACATTCGGCGAGTAATATTACAAGAACAAACTTGACATGCGCCACTACATCTGATAGCACAATAAATGAAATTGGCACACTGTTTACGGTACAAGCCAACAAGACGTTCACCATACAATTTATTCAATTGCCAGACTCGTCGAATGCTTTTATGGTATTTAAACTTGTGGCAATAGGTGCCACAGACTCAGTATGAATTAAAAACGGAAAGCGAATTAAACTTAAGCGAACCAAAACTGCAGTATTTATTTTTATACCAATTGTTTTTATTTGTTCGAAATTATTATTTTTGAAATCAACATTCATTTGCTATTCATTTTCTATGATTATTATGTCAATTGTAAATAATGAAAATGTGAAATATACGATTCAAGAGTGTGAGATTAACAAGTAAAATCAAATATTTTGTGGATTTATTTTGCACAGTGTGATTGTATCATTGATCCGGCGCATAATTAACCCAACAGACTGGAAATAAAATGCAAACAAAAGTGTTTCGGCATACGCTGAAATGATTTAAAAAAAGAAAAACAATACAAGCAAATTAACAAACAAATAAAATAATTACAAATGGATTTTATGTTTCATATAATTAAGATATGTCATCGTTTAAATCGACAGATATACCGTATTCTCGGTTATGTCAAGAGCCAGATGAAGATCATGAATTTATTAATCTTGAAGAATTGAATCCGTGTCACTTGAATGAACTTGAAGTATTGAATCAACCAAGTCCATATGATATACAAAATCACAGTCTAATTCACGGATTGCAAACGGTAACCGGGAATTTAGTTTCACAAAATTCAGCACAAAAGGATTATGGACAACATTGTAATCAAATAATGTATCAAACAATTCCGCAGCAAACGCAGTATGAACATCAACTGCAACCATCGGATGAAACGATCATCAATCAGCCATACTCATCGTTGAATCAAGGTCTCTATCACTATTCACGAAATTATGACCAAAATACTGATCCACAACTACATCTATATCATACGCAAATGTATCCACAACAGCAGATGCAAAACCAACTCTACTATCATATCAATTCACTAAATAACTTCAATGAAAATCTCAACAGGTTCGCATATGCAAAACAATAAACAAATCGTAATTGATTGACGAAAAAATAAAAAATAAAAATAAAAGAAAAAAAAATCGATTCGTGAATGATCATTTGTGATTTTTATCAATTTTTTTTTCCTTTAAAATACAAATCAAGTGAATCCACATATTGTACGGTACTTGGAAATGGAACATCTTACAGCGTCCCAACTTCAAACGAAGCACCGCCAAGCGAAACGCATAGTACACATAGTGCAGTTCAATCAACTACGTTAACAAACACTTATGTTTCGAATTCGAGAAAACGGAAAGCCTATTCCACAACGTAAGTAACCTTTCATTTTCAGAATTTTGACCAACTAAGATGACGTAGTTGTAATTATTTTCAGCATATGAGTTGTCACTCATAATGCCATTGTAAAAAAATTAGGCATCGATTGTTTTGCGCAAACGATTTTCACCGTGAAAATTGAACGAAACCAGCACATACAAATGTCATATATTTGAATTTATAAATTTGTTGGCCGAAGCACTAGAAATGCTCTTTAGCCTCATAAACTCGGTTGTTTTTTTTTTTTTTTGGTTTTATTTTGAAGTACGTTTTGTTTCATTTTTTTTTTCTTTTTTCTTCTAAGGTGGTTTGTAATATATATTAATTTGAATAGTGGTTGTACAATGTACATCTAAAGTAATATTCTTGAATACCAGGAACTGAATGAAAAGTAAAATTCAAGACGTTTTAATATCAAACTTTTATGGTAAACGAAGTATTATTTTGTAAAATTCAAAGTAAAATTGAATGGAAAGAAACTGCTTTGTTTGAAAATTGTAAATTGTTTTGAAATGTTAAAACTCTTTCATTTGTACAAACAATTTCAAAGGATTCATATGACATTTTACTTATGGCTATTAAAAGATCGTGTTTTGATTTTTGTTTAACAGAAACATTCGTTGATTATTTACACTGAAACAAATAATTCATGTTATGCAGATGGATGCTGTCATTTTAATTGATTCACATTCTTCGTTGTACAGAAACTTATAGGTTATCACATCTTTTAAACTGTAATAATAACACATTCAATGTGTTTATGTGCGGTGTTACTTTGAAGAAATTTTAGGAAAATATAAACGATGCGAGTAATTTCTGTTTTATTATATAAGCAATGTTTTATGATGTTTCCGTTTCCATTGCATTTTCATTGAATTTTAATTAAAAAGGATTGAATCGAATACTGTTGAAAATGTGTGTCAATATTATTTTTTATGTACACAACACCATTTAATGCTTAATATATATTAGAGAAATATAAAATGCCGTAATTAATCAAACGATTTTTGAAATTTTAGAGATGTTAGCGATTATGAAAGTGATACGGAAGATGATGCAAAATTGGCCAAAGCGAGCCAGAATAAAAAGTAAGTGCATTTGTGTGTGTTTCAGTATTTTTACTTTTGAAATTTATATGTTATACACTGTTGTGGCAAATGTTCTGACAAAATGTTTGCATAAACCTGAATTGATTACCGATAATATTGTGGTGGTGGAATACGACAGTTTTCTATAGTGTCACACGTGAAATCATAGAAATTCAAGTTCGTTAGCTCGTATATAATATGTGTTGCATACGTCAATCGCATTATTAACATTATTATAATATGTTTGAAATAAACAATTGAAAAACTTCCAAAGCCTGACTGATCATACTGCATTTTTCAAAATTCAATTCTATTCTATTGTGATAGAACCCAAAAAAACAAGACAAAGCTCATATTTGATAATGCTGAAATGAACACTAATCATAGCAGAGAAAAAATTTCAGGGGGTAATCAAAATTTCTTTAATTTTGTAAAGGGGCTATTTAAATTTTTCAAAAACTGTAGGGGCTTAACAAACACTTTCTTTTCATATTGTTTTTTTTCTTACTTCGTATAGATCGAATTTTTAAGACAATTTATGATGGAAAATGAATTTTAAAATTTTTAAGGTGGAAATTGAAATTTCGTCTAATTTGTAAAAGGAAAAGTTTGATATCCCCTCTGTCTACACAGCTATGACACTAATCATTCAATATAAAATAATTATTCCCAATGTTGAAATTAACCGAAATTTAGTTTAAAAAAATCTTAAAAATTTTCAATCTACCGTCCTCCGGCTAGCCAAAACATACAAGAATCTAGTAAACTTGCTTGATATTTGGTTTAATTTTCGTCTATTCCATTCTTCAATTAAGGAATCATAGTGAAATTGAGAAAAGACGTCGAAACAAAATGAACAATTACATAACGGAGCTATCTACGTTAGTGCCGATGTGCCATTCAATGTCTAGAAAATTAGATAAGCTGACCGTTTTACGAATGGCCGTTCAACATATGAAAACAGTACGCGGCTCTGTGCACTCATACACTGAAGGTCTCTATAAACCAACATTTCTCTCCGACCATGAACTAAAAATGTTGATACTAAAAGCTGCGGATGGATTTATGTTTGTTGTCGGTTGCGATCGTGGTAAAATTTTGTATATGTCGGAATCGGTTTCACAAGTTTTAAACTATTCACAGGTATATTGCGACTACACCCTAACTTTGATCTAATCCATTTTAAAATAACACAAAAACATACATTTTTCTTATCCAGCAAGATTTATTAGGTCAGAGTTGGTTTGATATTATACATCCGGAAGATGTGGCAAAAATTAAGGAGCAATTATCCTCTACTGATCTCAGTCCGCGGGAAAAACTTATTGACTCTAGAAGTATTTATCATAAATGCACACACCCAACATACCATTCGATAATAATTTATAAATTATTCTATTACCATGTTCAATTTGACAGCAATGCTTCCTTTGAAAACTGATGTACTGCAAGATTTGTCATTATTATGCCCTGGTGCTAGACGCTCGTTTTTCTGTCGCATGAAGTGCAAATCATCGGCCACATCTAAAGATAATGTCACAATGTTTACCAGAGATATTCAGAGATGCAAAAAACAAACCAATTCGGATAAAAAATATATTGTTATTCATTGCACGGGCCATTTGAAAACATGGACACAATCAAAAATTGGTTTAAAAGAACGTGAATCATACGGCGATGGGTATTCATGTAATTTATCTTGTTTAGTAGCTGCTGGCCGAGCTCCACCAAACGTTCTTCAGAACGACACATTGCCAACATCATCAACCAGCCAACAGAAGGAAGTGCTGAAGAATTTACAATTTTTATCAAGGCACACGATCGACGGAAAATTCCTTTTTGTTGATCAAAGGTATAATAAATGCATATGTCTATACTAAAATATGATTTGTTTTTCTTTTTACTCATATTGATTCAAATTATTTCCAGAGCTACATTGGTACTTGGATTTTTACCACAGGAATTACTGGGCACAAGCATGTATGAATATTATCGATATGAAGATATACCAGCTTTAGCTGAAGCGCACAAAACCACCTTACAATCAACCGAAAAGGTAGTTACATCAGTTTATCGGTTTCGAACAAAGAGAAACGATTTCGTTTGCTTACGAAGTGTATGGAAGACATTCAAAAATCCATGGACCAAGGAAATTGAATCAATGATGGCAAAAAACTCCGTTCTTTTGTGAGTCATATTCATATTTGAATTTTATTCTCGTTTTAAAGAATGATTTTTTTTTTTGTAATCATATTTTCAGTGATGTGATACCCGAAAATATCAGTGGCAGCACAGTTATGTCTTCGGAAACAAATTTATCCAATGCTGCGACAAATCAAATTCCTGGGAATTTTAATTTTTCTAATCAAAGTTGGTACAGTATGTAAAATAGAAAGCGTAAAATTATAGGGGTCAATTGACGATAGAATATCATAACTAATGTTAAACGTGACACATAAAGTGACATTATAAAAAATAATAATTATAAAGCACAATAACCTCCTGTACTGTGGTTGAGTCAAATGAGTAGTGTAATATACTATGACATTAACTTTTTTTTTCTTTAAAAAAACTTTTTCTATCTTATTGAGATATAAATATTAAATTGTAAATGCCGCATTCGACGCATTCTAATATATCCTTATATGAAAAATACACGATAAATACGAATATAAGAAAAAATAATCACATTTTCAATTCGATTTTCCATCCAATGAATAATTTACTTGCACTTAATCAACTTCGTAACTAAAATATTTCGATGCCTCCAACATTTGATTATTTTTAGCGGCCAAATCGTTTATGGCATCGACTTATTGGCCATATTTTACAAATCGTTTTTGTTATAATTTTCAATTGTGACGCATTGTTCCTTCCATCCCGTTATATTTCTTTCTTTTTATGAATCATTTTATCTTTTGCGAACTCTTTTATTTCGTTGGGCTCAAATGCTACGTAGCAAAACAAAGTCATCGCATCGAAGACAAATTTGATCTTTGGGTCTATTTTGAACCATCTTTTGTTTCATAATCGGCAAAATTGATAGAATAGTAAAAGAGACAGACACTATTAATATTGATATCTTTTCCCATTGGAATTTATTCATGATTAAAAATCGGATGAATAATTTATTTCAGCAACGAATGGCCGCGAAATGCATTGGGTCATTAATACGCACGTCGAAGCAATCAAAATTGGTCGGCAAATTGCCGAACAAGCATTAGATTCTCATCGAAAAGTCGAGGAATCTGGTGAGTTTGCGAAACATGTGTAACAGTAATTTGGACCATTTATTTCGATGATATTGTATTGATTTTTTTAACATTTCAAATCTTGTAGTAGAAACCAGTTCAGATACCGAGACTCGTATACCAAGTACAATAAATCCATTTCCAGTTGCATCTACGCTATTTAAATATAACGAATATCCAACCAACGAATTATCAAGTTCCACATCAGTGCCAACTCGCATCAATGGGATGAAATCTCGAATAAATGGCAGCACTGCATTATCGAATACCAGCCCAAATGAGAGTAAATATACATTTTATTTTAATACACTTTATTTGTATCGTTTTACTCGACTATTTGTGACTGAACACAGCTCAATCATTGAAACATCAAATAATCATTCACAATTTTTCATTCTCAATGAATTTTGGTATGCATAAAAAAGAAGGCCGATGAGAAGCCGTTCGATTTTGTATAGTTAATGTTGATGTTTGAACTGTGATTGGCCACAGGTCTCGTAAAACGAGACAGGTAACATTTTCTCTGATAAACAAAACAAAATAATAGATTCTGACACCGAACTAGTTGGCATGATGTCAAATTCCACATTATCTGATACATCGAATAGTCATCAAATGGGAAACTCTGAAGGTAATGATGAAGCAGCCATGGCTCTCATAATGAGTTTGCTTGAAGCTGATGCTGGTCTAGGAGGTCCTGTTGGTAAGATTTTTTCTTTTTTCAACGATGACCTTCGATGTCTTCATGTTAACTTTCTTCGATGTCTTCATGTGATCTATATCTACTTCCTAAGATTACACGGGATTACCCTGGCCTTTGCCGTAATTGGAACTTGACGTTGTATTTGGCTCACTGTATAAAATCATATACCTATAAACTTTCTATATATTTTAATAGAAACAAAAATTAATTATGAAAATTGTCAATAAAATGTTATAAGCTTGAAAAAAATGCAATTTGTTAAATAAACATACTTTACATCTTTTTTTACTCATTTTATTATATTTAATGGAATATTAACGAAAAAAAGAAAATCCAAAATATTTAATCATTACTTGCAAAAAGTTTACCAGTTTAAATTCATCCAAAATAAAAATGTATGCGGCATATTTGTGGAGGTGTTAAGCTCATGTTAACGTATTCAATTATTCACAGATATGGATGCTGAAGCGAATTTGTAATATTTGAACCGAGTGTCACAATGAAATAAATAGAATTAAAATGTACTCAAAAATATTTTTGTCAAGATTTATTTTTGAATTGCAAAGCCAAAACTTAAGCCACTTTGTCGTTTTTTTGTCGTTGGCCGGATTTTCTTCTTGGATATTTATACAAGTAAATTCTAAAAAAAGGAAGTTGCATGAAGAAGATAAAATCACATAAACGCACTTCGTACCTTTTGTCTTCTATCGGCAAAATATTTTATTTTCGTCAACGTAAACGCGACCAATATTAACGAAATGTTTGTGGGCAATAATAACGAAATAGCAAAATTCCCATGTACGGCGATCTCTCTGTCAGAGAATGAAATATAATGAATGAATCGATCATAGTTGTCGTACCTGGTTACTACGGCACCATTGAACAATCCAATGAGTTGTAACTCATTGTGTTGATGATTTGAATAGCATTTTTAATGCGTACACAAGAATCTATTAACTATTAGAAGCAACGAATAAACAAAATAAATACAACACCATCACATGCGATCGAAATCATTTTACACGTAGACTTTGAACAAACAACACCGACATATTCTTTTCAACGGTACCGGCAATTTTTACCGTTATATTTTCCATGCATTTAGTATAAAATGTTACTCGTTGTTGTGCTCGCCTTCATTGTGATTGGACTCTTTTTGCTGGTAGATTTGCGAAAACCAATACATTTTCCACCAGGTAATTTTTTTATTTAATTAATAACAAATTGAATTTAAATTTGAATCCATCAGGGAGTGACCATTGAGATCAAAAATCTTACTCGAATTTACTTTGAAATTTTAAAATCGCCGACCTTCTATAGTGAAAATGGAATTTTGTGTAATTTAACAGTTTTTTCTGTAATTTTGGCGTTTCTTTGTTAGATCACTTGCCATGAGATAGAAAATATCTAAATTAACTAAATTAACTAAATTAACGGGACTAAATTAACCCTCTAATGCATCAATCTTTTCCAGTGCAGGGAATTTTTTTTGAAAAATTATGATTATCCAAAAAATGCGTGGTTTAAAAGAAAAAGAACCGATTTGACAATATGTCGGATTAAAAAGAACACATTGTTTGCAACAATAAAAAAATATTATACAACAATTATAAAATATACAACAGACAACAAGAGAGATGCTTAGAGACACTCTCTTATTTTCAAGAATTATTAAAAAAATAAGCCAAAAGAAATTAAACAACAGGAAAAAAAATTGTCCAGTAGGAATCAAAATTATTAATGCTCTTTTTCAATAATTGCAATTGTATTTGTATGTTTTTTATACTACCGACGGTATGACAAGTCACACACTAGTTATTCACACGAGACACAATATGAAATTAGTATCGATTATTAGTATGAAATTTGATCGATTTGCATAGAGCAGTACTAGAATAATCATTTTTGTTTAAAGTAATTTTGTGAGTAGTAATCCATATTAATCCATAGTAATGTGTACGTTGTGTATGACATTTGCTAGGCATAAAGCGATCGCCGTATATTTCGGATGAGACATTTTATTGTTAAAAAATGGAAAATATCGAATTTAATTTAATAAATATCGAATAAATTGTTTCAATTCGCAATATACGACGATCGATTTATTCCTAACAAATGTAATACACAACATACACATGAAACGTCATTGCACTGCTGTTAGAATTTACACAAGTGTGTATTACTGCGGATTAATATGGATAACTACTCACAACATAGAATTACTTTAAACGAAAATTATTATTCTAGTACTGCTCTGCCCCTAGGGGAAGGTACATGAGTTTTGTTCATAAAACTATCACATTTGAAAAAAAAAAAATATTTAGTTCTAATAATAACGAAATCTCGAGCCCAGTAAATAAAGATGGATTAGTTCAAAAATGATTCAAAAATACTGTGAGTTGAGAGAATGAATAGTTTTTCACAGCATACGATTTTTGGCAGATAAAAGCTTAAAATTCAATTGTCAAATGGGCATAGAATCTTTATATTTGATAACATATTTTAATTACAATGATATGTAAACTCCGCTCAAAGGCAGTGTTATGCACTAGAGGGTTAAACCAAATTAATACAGCGATTTTTGGTGTGTACAATGTGTGGCCACATCGGGTATCTTTATTCTTCTTTTCTGAACTTTTTTTTGTATTTTCGAATTTGCAGGTCCACAGTGGTTACCAATAGTTGGTAACATCTTTGTTATACATAAGCTTCGATCGGTTTATGGATTTTTTCATTTGATATGGCATCACTTTTATGAAAAATACGGACCTGTGATGGGAATTCGAATCGGTCGTACTTTTTTCGTAATAATGTCTGGTCGAGATGCGATTCGAGATGCTTACAATACAGATGCAATGAATGGCCGACCAAATGGATTTTTCTATCGAATTCGAACTTTTAATAAGCGTTTGGGTGTTGTATTTAACGATGGTGATTTTTGGGACACACAAAGAAGATTCTCATTAAAAATATTACGTCAAATGGGAATGGGCCGCGCCAATATGAATGAGCATATTGAACAAGAGTGCACTGAAATGGTAAATTTTTTTAAACGAAAATCGGCAAACGGTCAACTAATTGAAATGCAACACGCCTTCGATATTCCGGTATTAAATATATTATGGACACTGGTTGCTGGATATAGGTTGGTACAAAATGCACACCACTTCATTTATGCATTGTTTATATTACATTCAAATATTACATTCAAATTATTGTGTTGTGTATGTGAACTTTAGGTTTGAGTATGACGACGAACGCTTGCAGAACCTTCTGAAAATGATTCATGAATGTTTTCGTGTGGTGGATATGACTGGTGGAATTTTAAATTTATTTCCATTGATACGGCACTTCTTCCCGATTCGATCAGGTTATAAGCCACTTTTAAACGCACACAAACCGCTGTGGAGCTTCTTGCAGGAAGTTGTGAATGAGACTAAAACCAAACACAGTTCCGAACGACCAAAGTCATTCATAAATTCATATCTGGAAGAAATATCGAATAGTACGCATAGCTCATTTTCTGGTGAGACCCATTTACAAAATAATTTTTTTTTTCACTAATTATAATAACGGATCGATTACCTTTAATGAAACGTTTTTTTTTTTCATATTTAGATGAACAATTATTGTCCATTTGTTTGGACTTCTTTCAAGCGGGAACTGAAACTACCAGCAATACACTTAGTTTTGGTTTAATGTATATGATTCACAATCGAGATGTTTGTGATAAAGTACATGCTGAATTGGATGCAGTAATTGGGAAAAAACGATTCCCCATTCTACAAGATCGCAACCATTTACCGTATGTGGAAGCCGTTCTCTCTGAAATACTAAGATTTTCAAATGTTGCACCACTGGGCATAGGTAAAGTGTGGATGTTATTACAAAATTAAATGGAGTCGAATAATTTTTTTAAATGATCAAATCGATTATAGCTCATCGAACAACGGATGATACAACATTTAGAGAGTTTATTATTCCAAAAGATACAGTTGTGCTGATATCATTGTACAGCTTGAATATGGACAAAGATTATTGGCGCGATCCAAATGTCTTTAAACCGGAACGATTTTTAAATGAGAATGGAGAATACATATCCCATAGCGAGCAATTTCTTCCATTCGGTTTAGGTAAGTCCACGAGAAAAGATCCGAGATTTGATGTGATTGCACGGTATTTTTATCACTGGGATGAATTCAATACAATTCGTTATTCTAATGAAAATACTGCTCTTCGAATCCAGTCAACGAAATTTCAATATGTTTTCTTTTTTCATTCAAAAGGTAAACGACGTTGCATGGGCGAACATTTAGCCAAAGCTAGTCTATTTTTGTATTTTGCGACATTCATGCATGCATTCCAAATGATTGTACCAAGCGATATACCCTTACCTAATATACAACCAAACGACGGCATAACACTGCAACCAAAATCGTTTGTTTTGCAATTGAAGCCGAGATTTTAGACTGTTTCCAATTATTTAGTTTTTTCTCTTTAAATGGAATTCTACATACTGTTTCTTATAAAATCTGTATACATATCAAACATATAATATAAATATGATGTTGTTGTGTCACAAGGTCAAATGTTGCACGATACAATACACGCACAAAAATAGCAACAAATATATTTATTTTTTGTTGTTATTTCTGTGATTGTAACAAATACAAATGAATGCACACCAAACAAATTCAATAAAGCAACCAACAAAACTGAATTATCATTTGTGACGTGTATTTAAGTAATGAAGCGTTGCTCATTCATTTATGTGTTTTTGAATGTTATCTTTGCATCTTATTTCGTTTCTTTATTTGAGCAGCACAACTCGCATACAAATCAATTATTCCGTATAGTACTTTAGTACATAGCGATAAAAGATCGACCATTCTTAAAAGCGGTTGACGTTATTCGTACGCTTTTTCATCGTTTCAATTCATATTGAAAGTGTGTAAAATAAGTCAAGAAAACATGTGAGTGAATTTAAACGAAGCCATTCAAAAGTACAACAATAAAAAAACGATTAGAGATTACACGAGAGAAATAAAAAACGAAATTTCGTAGGCAGTGAGGTTAGAGTACAACAAATATTGCGTAGCGAATATTGGCAAAGATTGCTTCATATATTCCATAGATATATTGTATTAAATTATTGAATGTGCGATTCCGTAAAACGTCAAAGTTTTTATACGAAATACGGATTGTCATTTATGTCGATAAATTTGTTGTAAATATGTATGCGATTCGATGTGCAACACTTGCAAATCTCTCAACGATAAAATCAAATGGGCGCCGCCTGTTAGTGGCATCTCAATATCGCCAACTGTCGACGCCCAATACACATGAGCTAGTGGCACACAAACAGCGGCAACATTTAACATCGCATATAAATAAAGTAAGTTTTCTGAATCGGAATGAAGTAGGTTCTAACTTCTATATATAAAATATATTTTTTGTGTTAATTCTCTTCTTCGTTTCATCCACACTAACAGCCTTCAATTAACACGATCACCGACACTTTTGGACGTATTCATACTTATTTACGAATTTCATTAACAGAACGCTGCAATCTCAGATGTAAGTGTCAACAAAGCATGTTTGTGAAAGTGGGTGTGCAAGTGTGAGTGTATGTGGATAAAAAAAATACACACAATAGGATGCATCTGAATAAGTCTAGAGAGAATATAACAAATGAACAAACACTAATACATTGTGACTAGCGTAAATGAGACTGAGAAACACGAAGAACGCAAACAGTAAAATAATAAAAAAGAGAAAATAAATTAATTTTTTTTGTGGTATCGTTCATTGCATTTTTTTTTTTGTTGAATCCAAGGTCAATATTGTATGCCAGCTGAAGGGGTTCAGTTAACCGAACATTCAAAATTGTTAACAAACGACGAAATTTTCTATATTGCCCGTTTATTCGTTGAACAAGGCGTACGTAAAATTCGATTAACTGGAGGTGAACCAACAGTTCGAAAAGACATTGTTGATATTATACGTGAGTATGATTTTGAAAAAACAAACAAAAAATGCATATTTATTCAATTTTAATAGATAATTGTGAATTTTTTTTGCAGGAAATTTGAAGCAAATTGAAGGTCTTGAAGAAGTCAATATAACAACGAACGGCATTATGTTAACACGATTATTGGTGCCGATGCAACGGGCCGGCTTAAGTGGCGTCAACATCAGTTTGGACACATTGAATAGCATGAAATTTGAGCAAATAACACGACGAAAAGGTTTTGACCGTGTTATTGCCGGCATTGATTTGGCAATACAATTGGGCTATAAGCCCAAAGTTAATTGCGTTGTTATGAAAAATTTTAATGATTCGGAATTATGCGATTTCGTTGAGCTGACAAAAGAACGTAATGTGGATGTTCGATTTATCGAATACATGCCATTCACGGGCAACAAATGGGATACAGAGAAAATGGTTACATACCGGTGAGTTTGGAGTTTGTATTTATACTCTCATTATACTGTTTAAAAATGATATAATTAAAATTGTTTTCGTAATTTTGCAGTGAAATGTTGTCAACGATCCGTGAAAAATATTCCGATTTTCATGAGCTACCAAATAAACCAAATGACACATCAAAAGCGTACAAGGTGAAGAATTTCAAAGGTCAAATTGGTTTTATTACATCGATGACCGAACATTTTTGTGGTTCGTGCAATAGATTACGAATCACAGCCGATGGCAATTTGAAGGTGTGCCTCTTTGGAAACAAAGAGATTTCATTAAAGGATGCCATCAGAGCCAACTGCTCTAAAGATGATTTATTGGCCTTGATTGAATCGGCCGTTAAACGTAAACAAAAACAACATGCTGGTAAGAAAATATAACATTTCCATTCTTTTTCTCTTCAAACAAATGCAACATTTTTATGATGTGCTCAGGGTTTATTTGAAACATTGAATTAAATGAATAATAACATATATATAAAGCGACAAGAAAAATCAACAAATGAAAACCACGGATCGTCTCTTTTTAAACATCTTCAATTTAGGCATGCAGAATCTATCACAAATGGAAAATCGACCGATGATTTTGATCGGTGGATAGCATTCGATTGTCGCAAAAATTCAAACAAGATAATGATATTTAATTCGACCTGCGTTTCAAATTTAGTGTATAAGGTTAGTCCAGATAGTCAATGTATTCGGTTGGGTTTTTAACACACTAAATATTTTGTTCGGGTAAATTTTGTAAATTTGTGATCGTTCTCATCATTTACCTGAATTATTGCACATGCAGTCACATCGGTTCTCATTAATCTTGCATGCCCATTTGGTTTGAAAGTTCATTCGTTTTTTTTTTATTTGTATTTACATTTCGTGATTTTCTACTTCAAATCGGAATGAAGTGTCGAAGATCAATTAGCATCGATACAATTTGTTTTTCTTTTCTTCTTAAATAATAATTGAGAAACATTTATTTCCATTTTTATCATAAATACGGCCAATTGTATGTTTTTGTTGTTGTTGTTTTCTTTTTGCTTGTTTCTATTGAAGTCATTTATGTTTTGATACAGTGGAAATAATAAGAATGTTTTTCTTTTCAAATTCTAGAACCATCTTCAGTACGACTATCATCGCATTTAGGATACGCAATGAATAAATCGTCTGATTCAAACTACCGCTCAATTTCAAGGCATCTGATGTTGACATCAAACTATCAACAAATGCGACTTTTTGTAACCACTGCACGGAATTTAAACGAAAGTTCCACTGAAAATGCAACACCGAAACAATTAACGCACACTGATGATGCGGGAAAGGCTCGAATGGTAGACGTCAATCATAAAACGATAACCGAACGGCTTGCAGTGGCTAGTGCTGTCGTACATGTGGGACCCGACATTGCCAAATTGATCGAACAAAATTCGGTGAAGAAAGGTGACGTTTTATCGATTGCTCAAATAGCCGGTATTATTGGTGCCAAGCGTACGGCTGAAATCATTCCATTATGTCATAACATTCCAATATCATCGGTTGTGATAAATACTGTGCTAAATCTCAATGATAATTGTGTGAACATTCGTGCAACGGTAAAATGCGAGGGTAAGACTGGTGTGGAAATGGAGGCTTTATGCGCTGTTACAACGGCCGCACTTACAATCTATGACATGTGCAAGGCTATTTCAAAAAATATCACCATATCTGACATAATGCTGCTGAAAAAATCGGGTGGAAAACAGAACTATCAACGCGATGACTACATTGATTTCGATGACAACAAACCGACGACGGCTAATAATGAGAAAATTGTTATACAAAATTACAATACTGAACCAATTGTCACCAAAGAGCCATTTTATCCAACGCATATTTGAAGTACAACAACCAATATGCAATCGAATCTCGGTGTTGCAATTCAAATCACATAACATATAGTTTTGTATCTAAATATTGGGCTCTTCGTTGGGAATTAGTTTTTTTTTCGAGCATATTCATTTATGAATATGTATGATATTAAAATGTTATATATTTTTTTGTCCTTCACACATTTTATTTTCTTTTTATCATAAAATTGTATTCATCATTTCAATATTAATTTAGCAGAGATAGATTTATTTTAATCATGAAATGTTTGATTCAATTCGCACAAATAAATCGATGCGTGCATCGCATCAAATGCATCAAATAAATTGTGTATTTATTATTTTAATTTTACGTGTGACGTGTATGTGCTTGTTATGAGTTATTATCGTATTGAGTTTTTAAACAGTGAATAAAACAAATGCCAAAAGTTGAATTTGAAAACTTAAACGCGAAATTGATGTAGATTGTGGATTATAGCCATTGTTAGTTCGCCACTAGAACATGGTTACGATTTTCTTCGCTTCTGCCAGCAGTCGATGATTCAGCACCTGGGCTTCCTTCGCCTTTGATTTTGATGTTGTGCTTTTCTCTAAATTTATTTATCTCCACACCTTTAGAGGTCAATTGTTCTTGTCGCTGTGCAATAAGCTTTTCCAATTGCTCCTTGGCATCGTTCAGTTGGGGTAGAACGCTTTTTACTGTTCGTTCACACAACACACCGCCGATCAATCGAAAACATTTGCGATCTTCATCAACCGATTTGAGTGTATCGATGACCGTTCTGTAATTAGATTTTCATCAATGCCATTGTTATTATAATCAATCAAGTTTATTCATTTCGTTATTACAAATCATTTCATATTTCCGATGAAAATCGCAACAATGAGGTTATGAATGTGTTTTATTCATACTTACTTGTGTTCTTTTAAATCAAGTTCTAATGTTGAAATATTGCTAACAATATTTCGTTGTTCGTTTCGCAATGCTTGTAAATCATTTAAAATTTTTGCGTGCTCTCTTTCAGTTTTGGAAGATTCGGCTGCCATTTTTTTCGGATTTATTTGTCTGAAATCGATTCGGCAAAAAGAAAACTACAAAAAAAAACACACACAAATTTATGACTAAACGAAGTATTGTGAGTACTTTACGTAGGTGTTTACTAGATATGATGTATATTTTATATACAAAATGTCATGCGAATGTCATATGATTCGAAAAATCGAAATACGAAATACGTACCTTACGCTGTGCTCGAACGTGCTTGTATTGGCTTCATATTTGAACGCAAAAACAAAGTTTTCATTTTCAAAAATGATTTTGTTTTGAGATCAATCTAGAGATCAATCATCTTTTTTATAGAAATTATATATTTAATATTCAAATTAATATTCAATTTTGACGAGTTACAGACGAGAAAAGCAAAACTCTCAATACCTACCAAAAACCGTTTCGTTTGAAGAACAACCAACATTTTCTCATTTTTTTCAGTCTATGGTTCTTAAGCAATGAGTAAAAATGTATGATTTCAATTGGTTTTGAAGTAAAATGATCCCATTAGAAACGAAACAAAAAAGACATTGAAGCAGATTCGTTGAACATTTGTAGAAGATGAATTCTTAAGGCTGAACTGTATTTCGATGAGAAAAAAGCCAACAATGACACAATGAACCAGAGGATGCTTTATTAAAGGATTATCAAAAATTAACTGATTTCGTAATTGTATTTAATATTTTTAATGTCATTATTTTGATGATCATTATATATTACATGAACTTGCCTATCGAATACCGACGCTACATTTTTTTTGTTTCGGAAATCTGTTTTTTTCTCAAAACATGTTGTTTTGAAAAAGTCATTTGGATGGCTATTTAGAATAAAATGTTAAAATAGAATCGGTATTTGAGAAGCAAAAACATGTAATTTGGTCGCATTCAAATTTTAATTATGCATTATTATATATATTTTTTTTTGTTGAAATATTTTTGCGAAAAAGTATCTGTTTCACAAAGCTTATTCATTTCGTATAACCATTAAAGCAATCATTGTTTCAAGTAATTTTTTTTGTTTACGGCCACTTCTGTTCTACACCATGTATAGTTCTTATTTTTTTTTTCATGCACATGCTTATGGAATGCTCTTTCCTTCAGGAATTGATGGTGACTGTGGGGCTGTTGAGGTGTGACTATCTAGGTTATTTTCATCGGTGAAACTATGAACGGACCCAGAACGAGATGTTGACACTTTTGTCTGTGATAAAACAATGTAAATTTAAAAAAGAAAAATCACCAATAAATCAAGTTGATGTTGTTAAAATTACCTTAACATTTTCATAGGCACTGCCAACACGCTCTTCAATTGAACGATACGAATCAGATTTTTTCATTTGGCTCAATTTACTAGTGAATCCACTTGTTAGCCCGCCCAAGATCGATGTTGTCTTTTCAGCTGTACTTTTAATTGCAGATTCTGTTTTTTGAAACACTTGGCTTTCGCGGACATTTTTCAAACTTTGGTTCATATCATCGGAGATCTCCTTCCAAACGGTAATGCCCAATTTTCGTTTCAGCTCGCTGGCATGACGCACCTTCGATGTAAGTACAGTTCGTAAAGTTGCAATTTCTTCTTCAACACGAGCCAATTCCTGCAAATATTTCGAAATTAATGGAAAATGGAATCAGGAGATTTCTTTCATTTCATTCACCTGACTCCATTCAGCCCGAACACGATCTTGCTCTTCACTCGATAAACTGGCAAATTCATTTGCAATATCAACGGAGCTTATTGAAGCCGCTCCCGGTGAGGTGTCGGACAATTTTTCAGATCCATCTGAAAACAAAATAAAATTATACAAAAATATTAGATTGTTTTTTGTTTTTTGTTTTCGGTGAAAATGGATAAAAATATATTATCGTCATGTATGTCGTCATCGATAATTCAATTAAATAACATTAGAATAAAAAGAAAATGTGTAAAAACCATTGAACACAACAATTACGATAAAGAGTTCGAGGTGATTAACAACATTCAATACAATTTCAATAAAAATAAAAAGCAGTAAAACATCAATATACCTCGGCTACCAATATTGAGGAAATTTTTATAATTATCATTACTGGATATTTTTGCTAAATAAGGCTTCGAAAAGTCTATAAATGTAACTTTCACATCACGAATTGATTGGCGATTGAATAATTTTCCTAAAATTTTAATTTGTTTACTGGAATTTAGGATTCCATTTCGATTTGAATCACAGTTTTGATTAATAGAGCCTAGTTCTGCTTCAGCTGTTTGGTAATCGTCTGTATCTTCGTGTTCGTCGGATATACTAAATAGTTGATCAAGTGGCAATGATCGTATATATAATTCGGTTTCGGGTGACCATTCACGACAAACACTATCGTCATCATCATACAATGCACGATGATCGAATTCAGTGATTTCTTCCTCATCTAATGACGGTGTCATTGTTTCGGTTTTTGGATAATATGGATCTTCAATATATTCCAAACTTGGCGGATCATCGTCACCCATTTTGCGCATTATTTTTATATTGACAACTTTTTTTTTACACCAAAGCAATTCTATGCTCAAAAACTATACACAATATTTTCTTTTAACGTCATAAAATAAATGTAAACCAAAAAACACTTCATGCCAAATAAATAAAATTCTACTACAATTTTCACTCGATCAAAAAGTCTTTAATTTCGAAAGTATTCCATTAAATTGAATCATAACACAGAATTTGATCTCGACATTCCACAATAAAGACTCTATTGTTATTGTAGTACGAGATAGAGAGAGAGTGGTTCAAAAAAAGCATGAATGTACCGTTATGGAAATCTAGCAGAAATCGCGTACATAAATACCAACAAAATCATTTCTATCACACCACTCATTCAACTCTCACTGTGTGTTTGAAACAAAAAACATCGTCATACACAGAAGCTCGGTTCATATACCTCATATACCTGTGGATATTGAGAGAATGAAACCATAGTGGGGCTTTGCGATTATACTCGTTATACTTTTTTTTTTACTATTTGTGCTACACATTCATTCAATCTCTGTTTCCGTGTTTCACTTTGGTGCTTTTTTTCTTCTGCAGAAAAATATTTACACTACAGAATTGACTTACATTCGAGATCAATTTATACATTAAAAGCTGTAACTACGTTCGTGTGTATGTACAGATACCAATTTACAACTACAATCAAGGTGCGCAGTATAATTAATGCTGGCCTTTTACAACAACAAAAAAAACAAGAGAAAGAGAAATACCATCACCGGACGACAGTCATTCTCTTCTCTTTTTTTGCTGTTGTTAAATTTACAAAGAGATTTTTCTAATGAATAAATTTCCCAAGGGGCGTCCTCAAGGCGCATTCCATTTCATTCGCTTATACATACATCAATCGTACAACGACCAAAATGTTCATATTGTGCTATCATAATGAAAGAGAAATGACTCGTAAGCAAAATTAGAACCACTGATTGTGTTTCAATTATCGAAATTAAATATATATATATGCATGATATGCAAAACATCACAACCACTTGTCGATTGTACGTGAGAAATACGAAACATCACTTTTTAATATGTACATATATATTTTTCCAGAAAAAAAAACAACTATCTCAACACATCATTAATTAATTTAGTTCCCAAACAAAAGCACAAAATGACAAATAACAACTTTGTGTAAACTTACATGGCGGAGTACTACTCATATTGAAGATTTTGTTTCTCTGTGCTCTGGTTGATTTTCCAAATAATATTTAATATCCAATCAAATAGATTTTTTTTGCCAACAGAAGCGTCGATTCCTTTAAAATGTGTTTCAATCGAAATTAAAATTATTTTTAACGCAATGACAATTTAATTAACTTTAATACGAACAAAAATCAAAACGAAAAATGATTGAATTTTGCCGACAAAAATGTAAAAAAATTTCGATTCATACTTTTTTCCAACTTACCACTGAACAAGTTTTATTCGAAACAATCTGAAATTCTGACACTTAATTTTTTTTTTTGCGTGAAATATTCACATATGCAGAATCACTTGGAAGCCGACGTTGTGTTTTGGTTGGATACGTAATTCGTCGCAATGTTCTTTAGATTTGTTGAATGATGAAAAAAGAGCGTACGTCAATTTAGTACAGTTCACCTGTACTAAAATACGAAACAGTCGATTGATAAAGCTGGAGGCAAAATTGAAAGTGAGTCATAGCACAGCTACATGAAATGTTGACAGATTTGTGTAACATAACCTCATCTAAACGGATCAAAATATTATTGTCAATGGAGAGGAATTTGTTTCATAAACAGAAATGGCAAAGGTAATAATTTTTTTTTAAATTTTATGGATTTACTTGAATTAATTGCGTTATAATTTAGTCATTTTCAGATGCTCGAAGGGCAAACGTCGTAAATACATTATCTAGTTTAAAGGTGTATCCTTTACAGTATTTTCCACATTATTTACATCCAAACAATACACTATTCCTGAATGGTAACGATTCTTATTGATTCTTTTTCGTTTATTTATCGATTATTTTAAATTAATTGTATTCTTTTCTTTTGTGATTCTTTCCTTAGGTAACGATGATGACACCGAAGAAGAGAAATTCAATCCATCGTTGGGTATTCAAGCGACTTATCCACTTCAGCTGAATCTATCAACCGATATCAATACAGTGGTCGACGAAAATATTGTTCTGAAATTGGTACATCAGAAGAACAACTACATTAATGATGTTGCCAAACTGACAAGCAATTATAAGCGATCGAGTTCGTGTTTATATTATTTACGTTCGCCAAAATGGCCAGTCATTAATCATTATTTTCCATACTTAGAATCGCATGCAGCAAAGAAGACCAAAGGCAATATTTACTCAATGCATTTGAACAAATTAATGGAACTAAGTACCAAGGATCCAGACCCATATTTTTTCGGATCATATAATTGGTATTACACTGGTGGCACAGTGGAAACTGCATCCATATTTGATGTCGACTTTTTATTTTATGTGTCTGGCGAAAATTTAAACATATTTAGTAAGTATTTGAATTTAATTGAATAGTAAAGCTCTAATCTAAAAATCACATTAACCCACAAAATACCGGTACGCATTACAGATTCAAGCATAATTAAATCGAACAATGATCGCCTTCACATCCAACATTTGGATAGTACAAATAAAAAAATCTGTGATACAATATTCGAAGTAAGCAAATCGAATGACAATTGTTTTGTGGCCGCTCGTCAAAAGCATCGTTTCACGCTGTTTTATTTGCAAGACGAATTGACACAACAGGAATTTCGATGTGAACGTAATATTCCGTTTATGAGCGGCACATTCATTGACAAATACTTCTATACTATCGATGCAAATCGAATAGTTCGCCAACATGAATTGTATGAACGAAGAGAGTGTAGTCGAATGAATTTAAAGTTACCGAAAAACAATAGCTATTGGTGTCAATTGAAATCTTATAATAATCAACTTGTGTTCGCCGATGAAAATAAATTGAAAATTTATGATAGCCGATTGTTTGCGAAGAAGGCATCAAAATGCATGGAACTCTGTATCGATAGCATTACAGAGAAATGCGAAGAAATCACATGTATTCACGCCGATGCCAATGAAAATAATTTATATGTATCAACAACACACAATTTATTTGTGTTCGATGTGCGATATGGAATGGAGAGCGGCAATCAATTGACACGGTATACACATCAAATGAAAACGCCACCGTTAATGATAGATGCGAGCGGTGGTGGTGCCACTGGTGATGCACCAAATGAACGCTTAATTGCTCTATCTGGAACATTTACCGATGATATTGTTATCGCTCAACATATCAAAGCACAAAATAATACACTTCGACACAATAATATTCCACAAAGAATACTGTGCTTATCGGATGCTTACAAACAGTTGAAAGAAAATGGTCTTCAGTCAGAATCGGAAAATCTATTGAATATTAATAGATCGATAAATGTTGGAACTCGTTTCGCCCGAATTAATTCCAATTTATTTTTGCTCAGTGAAAAATCGTCCGGTGACATATTCTATCAGAAAATTACACCCGATTTTACACATCAACGTGACCGGGAAATTGACGAAAAACTTTTTCATAATACCGACCTCAGTGGAAAGAATGAAACAAAAGATATAACAGTTACTACGATAACGAATTTTGATAGCATCAAACGTATTTTAAATTTTAAATTACCAAACGACACCGAAGCATTGGACACAGAAAATCCAAAACCGAAAAAATGGCAACAAACAATCGAACAATTATCAGCATACAAAGATATGCTATCAGCCGAACTGCTGACAGTCTGGAATGAACAGGAATTGGCAACAAAAGTGGATAAAACTGATAAAACGGAATTTGTTAATGGATGGATTAGTACATCGAATAATGTAACGGCTTTAGACAATGACGATGATGATGATGATCGGAATAAAAGCTTTTCAATGTTTTGATATTGAACATAAATAAACAAAAAAAGAAAGAAATGAATTAAAACAAATAACATTGTATTTCTCTTCATTAGATTTTATTATTTTGACTTAATTACGCTTTTCATTTAACCTTCAGTTTTACGTAAAAATCTAAATTTACCACAGTAGCATTGGGAACAAGACATTTGATTTTTTTTATGAAAAAAAAAACTCAATTTTAAAGCGTTGGCATGAATAAACTCACAGCTGTCGACGAATTGGAACAGGATTCTCCTCAACAACTATTGTTTTAGTCATAACATCGTATCCCGTTCGATTATTGCGAAAAAATAATAATACAAAACACATGGGAAACATCAATGTCATAAGCATATTTTTAGCAATGGCACGATATAAGGCGCGTCGAAAGCCTGGATTCGATGCCGGATACATTAATGCTCGCATTTGTGTTGATGCATTAAAGTTTGGCTCACCATTTATTTGGCCAGTGAGTACGACGGCTTCAACATAAAGTATCCGAATGCTCATGATCATCTTGCCAGGTGTTGCACCACCAATTACCGATTGACCATGGGCAGTCCACATTGCCTCATAGATGCATACCATGACTTTTGTTAGAATTTCCACCAATAGTAAATCCGATGAGAATGTCAAAAAGTCCAAATAATCCTCTTCAAACGATGTTTTCAAGTTCTCAAAGTCCAAATTCACTCTATAATTCATAAAAGAACAGAATAAAAAAAAAGTCATAAAACCTCATCAAAATATTTTCGTTGAACAATTTATTTACATTTGAATATTGAAGACGTCCATCAACACGAACACCACCATCAGTTTAAATATAAATAGAATTATGACCTGAAAACATGACATTTATGAAACGTTAGCGATTTACATAGTGAATGAGCCAAAATAAACTTTTGTCTTTTTTATTTACACTTACATCAATTGTTTCAGCCAAGAATCGTTTCCAAATGGGTGCAATAACATATTCGTAGCCACCGTTTTGATAAATAATTTGCATGTTTTGTCTAACATTGTCCATGTAATTGGTTCTATTCTGTTGAAAAATATTATTGACGAACAGGGGATTGGCGGCATTGTTGTTCGCCACCGCTTGTGGAAAGTTTCCAATTTGTTGATTGAATGGATTGGCGGCCGTAAATGGTGTTGAATATTGGGCCGATAAGAATGGCATTGGAGGAATGACAATATTATTCGGTGGCAGATTCGACGATAAATAGTATGGAAAATACGTTGTGTATGCTGTATATGCCATCTGTTGTAATTGTACTTGTTGCAACCAAACTCTTAATGCATCAAAATATTCTTCTTTGGTTTGAATCACAGCAGGAGTGTTTATCGTATCATTTTTGGAGGTTTTATCCTCTTTATCACTCTCACTTTCATTTGTTTTGACATTGTCTATTTTGCGTTCTTTTAAATCTGCCTCATCCATTTTAATTGTTTTAGTTTTTTTTACGTTGTTCGTATTTTTAAATTTTTCGTCCCAATTCCGATCAATTTTTTTTTAATTTTACATTTGTTAATTAATCGTGTAAGGAAATATTCTCAAATTGTTGACAAACGAAATTAAATAATTACTAGCGAACAAAATTCTTATCAAAGTCGTTTAGTTTGTTCTGTACAAATGTCGAGAGCAAAACAAAAACTGGTAACAATGACCACGTAAATCAATACTTCATCAACATGAATTTTTCACTTCAAATAAGAAATAATAAATATAATTTGTAGGAAAGAAAAAACTTTGTTGACATTTGTATTACGATGTGGTTTGTGTGCAATATGTCCAATAGGTGTCAACATTGATAAGTATATGAATTTAAGTACACGACTTAAGTATTCACCTGTTTGATATAGTTCCGTTGCTCTAGAATCCATTTATTCAATCAATTAAAACGTCGTTTTAACTAATTCGCCCCATACTTTATTTTTCATTAAAATTAATTTATGTTATGTGTAAAACCTTAAATTATAACATGATTTTATGGTCAATCATTGATTTCGTCTAACCAAACATTGAATTATGGAGTGTTTCTATATCTTTTTCTCGTTGTTGTGCCCGTTGCCGTTCAGCGCGGAGTCTTTCATAGTTCGCATCATCGGTTTTCAATTCATAACGACACATGGGACACGAATTTGTTTTCTCCAACCATGGCAAAAGACATTCACTAAAATGGAAACGAAAATGCTATCACCATAAGTATTCGATATAATTTTGTTCAATTTTACCTGTGGAATGCATGTCCACATGGCATCACTTTAAATATCTTTTCATTGCAAGCGTCCTTATCGATTTGATTTGTGATGTTTTCTTCGTCGTCGTCTGGTTCGGTGGCATCTAACTTCAAGCAAATTACACATTTTTCGGGACTCTTTTCCGCACCTGTTCGATTGATTTGCACTTTACGTTCTTCCAAATTTTTAACAACTTCTTTACTTGCCGGCGGTGGAGCTCCATCATATTGGTCCGGGATATACCCGTTTTCAATGAGAAAACGTACCTATGAATTTATACGTACATTGTAAAATGATGTGTTTATTGAAAAAAAAAGAAAAGAGAATGTACTTTATATATATTCATCGATCATTACCACTAGCAAATTCTGATGCTCTTGATGTTCTTGTGGATCGGCATCATAGTCTAAATCTCGCCAACTAAAATCGTCTTCGTAATCCATTGCTCCAAATGTACTTTGTTCGATTGTTTATTCAATGACTGTGAGTGTGCAACAATAGTTAGAAAATCAATAATGATTTGACACTTTTTCATTTATTTGTTAAATGTCAGTGAATAAGTTACATTTATTTATTACAGATGGCTCTCATGGTAGACTACATATTTGCATAATTTCTAAGACAAAGAATTTTAATTTATAAATAATAAATGATTATTAAATCGACATATATTATATGCACAATGCACATAGCAAGCAACCGATGACTTAATCATTTAGTTTTGTGATAAAAATATATGGTTACGATTGAATCGAATATTTACGATTCTGATTTTTTTCGTGAATTTTTCATGGGATAGCCAAGCTTTTGATATTCAAGCCAAAGCGTACGATTATTAACGCCATATATTTTAGCTGCCTTACAAAAGCCCATACCTTTGTCACGAACTGCTTCAAGAGCATGTAAGAAGTTCGCATTTTTTCTTATCATTTTTCGGCTATAGCTAATCCGTTGGTTCGTTGGAGGTGTTTCGTTCAATTGATTTTCTTCAAAAGCTCTTGACGTCGTTGTACACAAGTTATTCGGATTAATCTTAACAATTAATTTATTCTCAGCTCTATCATCATTGTTATGTTCCTCTTGGTCACATTCCGTTTTTATTTCCGTTATTGTACAAACATTTGACAATGATTTTTGTTTTCGTTTTCCATTTCCTTTGTCATCACTCGGAGAATCATCAAAATTTGAATTAAATCGATCGCAAACAACATCGGTTGCGTCGGCAAAAGTAACGCTCTTCCGTTTTTTAGTCGATTTTGTTTGATCGCTTGTACTCGGAAAATTAAGTTTTTCATCCTCACTTTGGACAGTCGATGAGGATAAATTTTTTTCTTCGGTAGTTATCGTTGACTCAATAACCGATTTTATCTCATCCAAACCTTTAATCTTTAATATATTAGCGATACGCAAAAGCTCGACCAAATCATCTTGATAAATGTTCACTTCGCCATTATATATGAATTCGATGAGACTTTTCATGAAACTATATTTGATCCCTGTCAATATAATAACCGGATGTTTGCACGAGTTTCGTAGAAAAATGTTCTGCAATCATAAAATAAATAATTTAATCGAAATTTCAAATTTCAAACATTCGTTAATAAATGATGTCATAAATACTTGAAAGAATGGGCTGCATGCAGACAAAACAATTTTATGAGCATGAATTTCCCGATTTTCCATTACGATTGTTACATCTACCATCTGGTTCGAATGCAATAGCGATGAAAATACCGTTAATAAATTTGGATGATGTTGATTCCATTGTAATTTGTATTGGTCACCCGTCATTTTCGTGTCAATCGTTGAGATTTGATGAGTCGCCTGCAAATGGGATGGACTTTATTTGTAGAAAAAAAATTTGAATGAATTTTTCTTGCACTTATTTTGGCAGTGAAGAAGACATTGAAGGTAGACAGCAGATATGTCATTCAAAGTTATATGTTTTATCGAAATTGTAATATGTATTCTGTTTATATAGATAGAGATATTTAATTTATTGAGATTTTAATTATTCCGGCAGTTTTTAAGATGGCGACACTGGCACTTGAAAGAATTCGATTTGACATTTCATATCAATGGGACATGTGGTTGAGTCAAGTCGTTTCGATTCATTTGTTTACAATACACAAAACAACAAAGAAGTACATCATACATTCATTGTCGTTTAAAAACTGAAAGAAAACCAATTTGAAAAACATGGAATGGGAAGAACAGGATCAAACAAATGAATCCAATAGTGAATCGAATGCAGATAATTCGAGTAGTGATGACGAAAACAATGAAGACGATGGAGATACTCAAAACGATAGAGTAAGCAACTATATTGTATATTGTCGTTAGTTTTGTTTAATCAGATCATTTGATTTTCCACAGAGTACGATTCGTTCTGAATTGAAATCAATGTCATTTGCCGAATTGCTGAAACTCAAAGACGAGCTCGGCTCAAAAGTATATAACGAAGCACTGTTTGGTGAAGATTCAATACCAAAGAAGCGAAAAAAGGGCGCCAACCAAACAAATGCATTTAAGCGCGAGAATAAGAATCGACCACGAGAAATTTCGGCAAAAAAACAAGTGCCACTCCTTGGCAAAGTGAAAAAATCGAAAAATGATGCGACAGGACCGCGTGATCCGCGCTTCGACATTAAATGCGGCGATTTTGACAGAGACAAATTCAAAACTGATTACAACTTTGTTAATGAAATCCGAGAAAAAGAAATTACCGAATTGAAGGGCCAATTGAAACAGTTGAAGAGTGATCAAGCGGAGGAAAAGGAAAAGGTTAAATTAGTATTGCAACGAATGCAAAATCAAAATTTAGAAGAGAAAAAACTGCAAGAGCGTAAACAAGCCAGAACATTGGAAAAGAAAAAGAACAAAAACGCAATTGGAAATGAGCGAAAACCATTTTTCATTTCGAAACGTATGTACAATCAATTTTATCGCATCGAATTTGTTCTATTTTGAATTTTTGTTTTGCTTTTTTTTTCTAGGTGAGCAAAACGCACAAGATTTGGTCAAACAGTTTGAAGAGCTTAAAAAAGCGGGCAAATTAAACAAACATCTAGAGAAACGACGCAAAAAGAATTTAGTACGAGATCGAAAAAAATACAATTTTGATTAATCAAATAGCCATTATCCAAAAATGAGAAATAAACAAATACTTAAATGATTTGAGATGTTTTTGTATTATCTTTATACTGAGCACAGCGCCAATCACGATATTGTTCTCGTATCAATGTGACACATGCAATATAACCGCACATGTTTTGACGCATGACATTTTGCGTATCGTGATTCTCTTCCATCTAACCGCAATACACATATTTACATCTTTTTCGGTGATAATTTTTCTCTTTTTTTGAAAAATAAAAGTACGATGTCATTACCAGCGACTGGATCGCTTTCTCGATCGGCCGGATTGATTTCGGCCATAGCCAAAAATGTGAGATTACTCAATTTGAAAGCAGTTAAAAGGATTACAGTTTCATTTGATCCATTTGTCGAGAATGTCAAACAAACAAGGTAATTGTTACAGCACCGATTTTTTTGGGGTTTGAGTGAGTTTACTGTACAATGTCTATAAATAACGTACGGCGCATGTCAATTAGTCAAAAGTTATCCATTTTATTCCACAAGAGCAATATGATGAACATATTCCAAAAAATTCATTGAAATCTTCATGTTTGTTGCGGTGTGTGAATAGTTTGAACAAAAAATAAATAAATAAATCAGTTCTTCAACAGAAATCATGTACGTGTTTGTTTACTGCATTTATTAGATGTGTGAAAATAAAATCAATAATAGAATAAACTACAATGAAAATATACTGAAACATAAGTTTGTTGAAAATGAATTGTATTTTTCTTTCAGAGAGGTTGTATTTCAATTGTCGGTTGGAAGAGTCCAAAGAACAAATCCAGGCTGCATATTCAGAACGAATGTGGTTTGTGACAGAAGTGATCCACAATTCATCGTAGACCTAATTCCAGAAGTACATGGTAAGCATATTATTTTCCAATATGCCCTCATTTATGACTCTTGCTTTTTGTTTTTATGCAGAGACGGCCGGTTTTAATACAGTAAAAATCAACGCAAAACATTTAACAGCATTGGAAATACTGGAACTATTTAATAAACATATTACCGTTTTGGCACCCAAGGAAGAAAAGGTCCAACCAATTTCAACAAAATCGAAAAAGAAGAAATAGTAAACCAAAATCCACATTGCATTAACAATACAGCGTTTGTTGAATAGTGCAGTTAAACCATTGTTAGATTGTAGTCGACGTTAAAAAAAAATACAAAGAGATGGCAAAGCGTTTGAAAAAAGGCGGTCACATGGATGTGATCGAACGAATTTACAATGATCTTCCTGCATTTACTGACATCTTTACAGAAGAATCATTTTACATATTTGCCGTATGTTTCGCACTCACAACCATTCTTGTCGCATTCATATCATCTAGATTCATAACAATAAGACCAATCGAGTAAATTGAATGCACCTTGCGAATGTCATTCGGCCGTTATTCGTTCATCACAGATTTATGTCGTCTTTTTTTTCTCTCATAAAATCATTTTTCGATGCGTGCATTTTCCCTGTGTTTCTAAACGTATGAGTAGAACATTACTACATATGAATGTACACATAAAAATAAATAATTGTATACACGAAGAAAAACTTGAATATTTCACTCGGACATATTATAATATATTTTCATTCTAACCACAAAATATTGCTCTTAATTTTTCAGTGAGTTTTGACGTTTGTCATGAGTTATATACTTGACATGAATATCCATGACGTATACGCTTTTGTTTTGACTTTTATTTTTAGAAGATCAAACGAAACATATATATATTTTTTTCCATCGACATTTTTTTTCACATTTGCCAAATTTTAAATTCAATGAATTGTATTAGCGATCGAATAGACGAATAAGCGATATCATAAACTAAACGTCAACACTGCTGAACATTAATAGTAGAAATATTGTTTAAAATCAAAGTTTTTTGAAAAGATTTCGACATATTATTGAGAAAAAAAATCATGAGCTCAATAAAGCAGCGATACGAAAAATTCAGTGAATTTATGCAACATAACACCAAGGGCGTCGAGGTAAATATCAACAATAATTACGAAATTATTTGCGTCGTAGTTTTGTTATTTTTTTCTCAATTGGTGTTCTTTACGTAGATCGGCATCTATTCTGTCACTGGAACTTTATTTGCGATCGCATACTATAGAATACGGCCGGTAAATGTTCATGTCTTATGCAATAATAAATAATAATAATAATAAAAATGACATCATAACACATATTTTATTGCTTTAGATTACAAAGTTCACGCGATCGAAAGATATCCCCAAACATTTTATAACAAATAAGATAATACAAAATGGAATAATAAAAGCAATCGAACCAAATCAACAAGCTGGAGCAATTTTGCGCATCGAACATAAACCACCATTGAATCTATTGCCTTTTTCACATAAAACTCTTCCAGTTAAAGTGAGTATACTCCACATACTGATACATACACATACTTTCATTGTTATTGTACATCAAATAGATCTTTGGAGTCGATATAAATGGAAATGGATTTTCTTGGTTGCAATCGGTCACTTTGAATCACAAAGTGGAATTTCTTCCGATTTACAAAAATAATAGCCAGTTTGCAGAGTGTACAGTGAAAATGGATTTAAATCCAAAGGTTATTTTGCATTGACAATGATTCTTATTAAGTCATAAAAGATCTATAAAGATGTTTTTTTTTTTAATTCCTTATCACATTTAGTTATCCATCGACGTAGCTGAATCGCTTATAAAACTGGGATTTGCAAAAACATCCCCACAACAAAGCGTGATGTCAACCGACGTCCAACTTAAAAAGTACTTGAAAAAATTACAAATCGCACAATCAAAAGCGACGCAACGCGGACTACCATGGCCTCTAAGTGCTATTATTTCGCGAATCTCCCAATTGATATACAACAAAGTTTTCCCAGCGAAATATCGTCTGCCCGAATTGGTCAGATAAATTGTTATTTATTTTTCCAACAATCACTTTTAATACAACTTACGATGTATAGTTAAACATTTAAATTTTCTATAAAAGAATATTACGGTTGTTTTATTTCTATTTATAAATCGTTTGCTCCCTCTACTTTTTGATGGTGCTTGTTGAAGTATGAGGACCATTTGCCAGCGAAGTTCTCTTTGGGTCGCGACCAAACTAAATATTCTTTTTCGCATAAATAATTGAAAACCATATTCATTTTTTTTTAAATACTTTGTAGGTTTATTTAAATATTCACCTGTCACAAATATATCATATCGATCGTAAAGCTATAATCATCAACATACAACTCATTCAATATCTATTGTACCAATTATTTTAAAAATGGTAGTATCATTTAACTTTGACGCATTTTCAGCATGTTATTCTTGATTTTTGTTTAGCTCAGTAAAAGAAATTGTCCGTTTAATCATCATGATAATACGCTTGTTTACGGCTCCACTGCAAACCGAACAAATTAGTGATTTGACACATACACAATGAGGCTCACTTTGAATGAGAAGAAAAAATCCATCAAAGATGTGCCTTCATAACATGATATAATGTCTCATCACGCCATCATTCGGAATTGCGAAACTTTCTCAAACGCACTTCTTGACTTTTTTTTTGGGCCATTGTTTAATCATGTAAATCGCGCATTAAACAATTAAAATTGAATTATTTATTGAACACACATGAACAAAACAGCGTCCAGAGCTCAGCGTCAAATAGATTTAATTTAAATATTGTAACGAATTGTTACTTGGCTAGGCTTGATTTTTTTTTAAATATCTAACTGTGGCCCAATTGTTTATGACATAAAGATTCACATATTATATCGGCAGTTATTAGGCAGTTTATTAACAAATCATTTACCGAACGCACGTATAGATATGGTAAAAGCATTTTGAAGGATTTAAAAAAGTGTCAAAAAAAAAACGATTTATAAGACGGCTGCATACATAAAAAGTTGTCCAAAAAAGAAATATTTCTATAATGTATATTTGAATTGTGTGCATTCAAATAATTCGGTTTGTTTTAACATTTTGTTTTTGGCAATTATGCTATTCCAGTGCATCCTTTGCTTATATGTTCTTAAATGCCTAAATTTTTATTATATCATAACAAAGCGATGTATTATTGAATATTTTCATTTTAAATTGGTTTTTCGCGGAGAGTTCAGTCATTCTCACTAAAAATGTTTTTTTATTCACGAATATTATAATAAATAAATCAACTCTGCATTGAATTGTGTATTTTTTAAAATGTGTTGCATAAAACATCGTCATCGATTGCCATATTTTTGTTTAAAAAAAAGGTAGTTATTTGAATCCTAGACTAAATTCTCAACGCCAAAAATAAGTGTTACACTTTTGTTTGCCTGAATATGTGTCACATTTATTTTTGACCTTATGATTTTGTACTAAACCTCATCATTCTTAAACAACATTAGTATTTTATTTGGTAAGACAATTGGTTATTCAACGTGCACACTCTGTTTAAAACTCTACGAGCTTTATTGATTGATCAAATCAAATCGATAGAATATTTACAATGATCATTTAATTTAGTAGTCTTTCTTTTTCATAGTCGGTTTTGTTTAAAAAATAATGTGAACGAAAGAAAAAAACGTAATACATACAATATTTTGACTAAAATATCGATCGGTATATATTCAAAAAAAAGTTCGATGTATATAGTAAAAATGATGAAAAATTCAAAACTGAAGTATACATAAAACGCGATAAAACGTTAAAAACACTGTAAAAAAGTTTCAAGTATATAGTCAGCATTCAGCGTTTAATTTTATTTCTTAATAAAGAGTTCATATTAACGCTGGCATTTTTCAGGCTTGGCTAGCTGGGCTGTGGAGGCACCAGCTGTGTTTGTTGTGCATGTCGGAAGTGAGTTTGATTTTGTGGCATATTATTTTGGCCATTTTTCGATTGTTGCATCTGTTGTTGGAATCTCATTTGATTGTTGCCAATTTGCATTTGATTGTGCTGTTGTAGGGGCGGTTGTTGACGAATATCACCTTGATTTGCAAATTCCTTAGCTTGTTCTTCGGCTGCCAGTGTTAGCACCTCAGTATATTCTCGAATTAAATTTGCGATTTGGAAAGCCTGTTCGAATGAAAAAAAATCAACAAAAATGTACGAAATAAATAAGAGCGGTCAATAAGGAATAAAAAGACGCTTCATTACCTGTGCTGTGGTTATAATGACTTTGGATTGTTTTTTGTCGGATCCGGTGATAATCATTAAACAATTCATATTTGGTGAATATGATAGTATCGATGTGTAATCATACGTGCATAGTGTGTTTCGAGATCGATGCTCTAGCAAATGGACGCCTTTTTGATCAACTGCTAGCCATAATACGCGCGGCCAATTCGATGTGAATGTTTGCATTACATCAAAAATGGTTGCTTTGTGCATTGGCCAACTTTGAATTAGGTTCAAAAATGATTTCTTTGCCTCGGCCGATGTCATACCGCGTAATGATTGATGATGCATTGCAACTGCCTGTTGCGGTAGATTTGGTATGTATCGTTGTGGCAAACAATGTGATGCGACCGGCCGATAGTCATGCACTATTTCATTTGGTGCATTTGCATTTGTGCTGAAATCACCCAATTCAAGTTGTGCTTGCAATGCTGTCAAAACAACCGCATCCATTTCAGTGATGGGGAAATGATCGCTTCGCATTTGATGTAAAACTTGATGGTACAACAGCTCTTTTTCGACCGCATCATCTAAATTCATGTACTTGTCATAGAATAAGTGCTTTTTGAATAAGAACAAATGATGTTGACGTCGACATGCGGCCGATAAATTCGAATTGGATCCATTTTGATTTTGTTGCACTGCTTGGGCGGCTGCATTACGGTATTTCTCCCATTTTGACATAACATCGGCAATTTTTTCATCCGGCATCAAGCTTCGTTCAGATGCTCCCAATACTTCGTAAATTGCATATCCCATCGCTCCTTCATTCAATCCAATCTTATTTTTTATGATTTCCAATACTTCACGAGCGGTTGAACTCGGATGAAATTCAACTGAATGATATTGACCATCCATGAAATGGAACCGAGCATAAATTGGTCGACGATTTATTGTGCAAACGATTTCTTCGCGGGACGGTGGCCATTGTCGGCGTCTGGTTCCCTGCGTTCTGTACAAACATTTCTCTGCAAAACGTGCATATTTTCCTTCTTCGGTGATAAAATCACTGGCACATCTCTTCAAATGCGCTATGAGATACTTTCGTAGCACTTTTAACGGTGGCAAAATTACGCTGCATGCCAATGACAAAAGTGCCCAGTGTCGTAAATTAACTCTTGAATTTGGATCGGGATGATCGGTTGTTTGTTTGATCAACTGTAAATACAATTCGTTTAGAAGACTTTCTTTGCGCATACTTCGTTCCATAATCGATTGAATAAGCGTAATATGTTCATCTTCAGCTCTTTGAATTGTTTCACCACTCTGGCCAAGACCAGCATAATTTAATATCGTTTGGAATATTTTCAACATAATTTCCTCTTCGGAATCGGGCAATTTTGTTAAACTTTGTGGTAATGGTTGTCGACTAAATGCCCAATACGCATGTGGATATCCCTTATATGTTTCGCCATGATCTTGAATCGTTGCACAACCATGTTCGGCTCTCAATTTTTCAATGCGATGCTTCGACAAACGGCGCAGTGTATTTCTTAAGAAACCGCCAGCATTACCATCTTGAGGTTTACGTAACAATTCATTTGTATCGATTAGATGTCGCCGACAAACCACAACATTATGATGGAATCGAACTCGATCTTCATTTGTAACGCCTTTGACTCGCTTTTGTGCCGGTCCATTAACAGCCTCATTATCAGTTATCCAAGAGGATAAGGGCGGATAGTATGAAATAATCAACGATCCAATCTCATTTTTCTGCATTGTCTCGAAAACAAAACAACGTTGTTGGTCACCAGCTGGATTTTGTGTTCGATTCAATGTGATTGTGATAAATGAATCGCTTGGATCCAACATGATTGACTCAACATCGGTGTAACGAAATTCATAAATAACAAACTTATCGTCCGGTTTGATAAGCATAAGTCCTTCACAATTTACACCCAGAATTAAACTATTTCCATAGCTCCAATAGCCACGATATATGACCGGAAACATTGTTGTACCATATAATGGATACTGCATTACACATGACAGGTATAGAACTTTGGCCGTCAGTTCGGTTCGTCCAGCACCATATTGTCGATGTGCTTGTGCCAAAATTGGCACCCAAAAAGCATCCTCACGCGTACCAGATATTCGCTCCGGCAAAAAGCTGTTCACATCTGTGTAATATTCTGGCTTTGGCTGTGCAGATGGATCGCCCAATGCAACCTGGGCTTGCAGACCCGACAGTTGTAATGCAACCTTTTCGCTCACCGGGAAATCGTCACATTTTACAACGCTGTAAACCGCTTGTGCATATAGCATATTCACTTCGATTGGATCTTGTGATAATTCACGTGTACTCTTGAAAAGACGTTTCTTGAAAACAAATCGATTTTCACCAGATCCAATTTGATTACGTCGTATTGTATTGCTACCGCCGTTTAGGGATGATGGAGTTGTAACTGTTGTTGGTTTCGTTTGTTTCAGCTCCCATGCTGCAATTATATCGTACAGATAATCATGACTCTTAACATGCTCCTCGCCATCTGGTCGCGATTGATATATTGCCCAGCCATCTGTATTGCATAAGCATAGTTTTTCGGCCAATTTTTGTACGGCATCAGCAGCACTGTCCGTTGGATGAACATCAATTGCCTTTGTTCTGCCATCAAGAAAAAAAAATCTGCATACAATTGTTCCCAGACGTCTCATCGCCTACAGAATGGAAAAAAGGGCATGTTTGTTATTTATCAACCATATATGAAATATGAAAATCTATGCGATTGATTGTGTGTATGTGTGAGTGTGTGTATGTAAGAGAGGTAATGAATTAGTTTTTGGGAGATATAGCGTGTATTTTGTGCCAATATTAGGAAAGCCAGTCAAAAGAAAAATGTCAATTGAATTTTAAAGGCAAAGCCTGCAGGTTCATGATCAGGTCGATGATTAGCAATATATACGAATACGAATATGAATATGAATATGAACGAACAAATGCTGCTGCCTGTGAAAACAGTTCGCGATGTACCTTTTAAAATCTTTTACGATTTCATTTTAAGATTAATGTTAAGAATTATATGAGACATGAAATTATGAAGAATGAACAATGAATTATGAATCATGTATAATGAAATTGCAAAATCTGATTTGATTCGGCTACACTTACCGCCACTTCAACACTAGAGGGTGGATACTGACGCGGTGATACCTTGGTATATTTGCAATTATCCAAACACCATTGTACATACTGTCTCAGTTTACCATCTAACATTTCGAGATTTTTCTTCAAAAAGCTTGCATAATACCTGCGATCAGAATTTTTGCATCAATTAAATATCATTTGAGAGATAGTTTAACATTTGTTTCTCTTTTTTTACCTTATAAGCAGTTTGCTGGGTTGGAAAGCGACAATCGCTAGACACATTAGCAGCCAAATGCGATCAGTCCATTCTGGATGCGGATTGTTTGTTGCTTGTCGCATACATTGCACGAATATTTCATCACGCAACTCTTCTCTTTCGATGCCTTGACCAATAATGTATTGAATCACCTGTAATTCTCGTTCCGCATTCAGCTCACCTCTAGCATATTTACATAGATCCTATTTGGTGATAGTCAAAATAAATAAAAAATAAAATGTTTGCAAACTTGAATTTTTCCAGTGATGGTTTTTTCCTATCTGAATAGCGCTAGCTATTCGCAGCGTCTGAACAGCATTGCTGCCCAGATGCTGAATCGAAGCGGTTGCCGCACGCGTTTTGTACCACACAACATATTGTCATATAGTCTAAGTAACCAGTGAGCTCACAGAGTATGATACACTAATACCATAGTCAGTATACAAACGCATGTCGAACAGAGAACGAACGCGAACGTATATACTCTGTGTGGTACAAACGAAGTGTGTTGCGCGTGCGGCAACCGCTACGATTCAGCATCTGGGCAGCAATGCTGTACAGGCGCTGCGAATAGCTAGCGCTATTCAGATAGGAAAAAACCATCACTGAATTTTTCCCATATGTGTTACCTTGAAAATATTGCAGGCAATTGTGACATTCTCAGGATCATACATATGAATGTGAGACGTTGGAATCGAGTTTCCGCGATAGTATGTAATCATTTCGTATTTGGGCACCAAATCCACCGATTTTCGTCCTTTTCGAGTTAAGGTCGCAATAATGGTACCTTCCGGTGTACGTTCATGAGTATTGAAATTATTTTCAGCGAATTCAAGTATATCAAAGTACACATCATCACGAGTTGCTTCACGTTCTCTTTCAGTCACATCGGTTTGTTGCATTTCCTGTAATTTCTTTTCAACTCGGAACTTTCGTCGTTCCGTACGTTCGGCTGAAAATCCGTAATGATTTTGTTGTTGATTGTTTGCAGTCGAATTGAATTGATTCGATGACATACGCGAGTTTGGACGATTGTGTTTCGGTGATGATGGTTGCACTGGAACTCCAACTGTATTATGTTGTTGTGGACTGCTCGACCGAATCGCTTGATGGATAGCCGGACTTTTAGGCCTGTATTTATACACAAATTATGATTTGTTAATTGAAATTGAAAAAATGAAAAAAACAATGATGAAAAAAGGTCTAACCTTAGTTTGTGATTGGCATCATAAGAATTTATTATTGGTTCGGGCAATTCAACGACTGGCGGAAGCTCATGACGTGGTATGACCGCTTCGTAGATTGGTTCCTCCTTTCGAACATTGTGCTTTGTAGACTTAACATAAGCCGGTTTCTGTGGCGGTTTGTTCAATGGTATCACCTCGGTACTTAGATCGGTTACATTCAGTCCCATTGGCGAATTATTGCTAATGCTATTCGGTGTTGTTTTTGGTACATTTGGTGGTGGTGGCGGTCTAGTGGTCGGTTCGGGCAATGTCGGAATTCCCATTTTTGCATTCGGTAAACATTTGGGGTTTGAACGTTCATTCTCCATAATCTCCATTTCTTGTTGCAATACATTCTCCAATTCCACATCCAAATCATGAAACGTTTCTTCAATATCGTCAATGATTGATGTGTTGTTATTGCCAATCGCTTTAGTGCTATCATGATCATTTCCATTATTGCTGCTGCTACTGCTGCTATTGTTGCTGTTACTGTTATTTGGCGTTACTTCACTCAAAAATGCAAACAAATTATCCAAATCGACCGATTCGTTGCTTTGCTGATGTGTCACATTGCTGTTTACATCCGAATTTAATTTGTGATTTATTTGATGTGCAATTTCGGATAATGCTTCGATCTCTTCACGACAAATGCTGCAATGAAAATGAAATTAGTGAGCATTTGATCGGCATTCGGTTTCATGGAAACACATTCATTTGGGTGCTGTTGCAATTAAATAATTGCATTCACAATGGATTTGGTTAGCATACTTGATATTCTACATGTGTTATTTTTACCATAAAATTGCAAACAAATGGACATTCAAATAATAATCATTTATGAACTGAAGCGAAAAAATATATATGGGTGACTCAAACATAACAATGAAGCTGAACTCAATTTCTTATGTGCTACACACGTGCATAATCGAAGCATACAAAATAATATTCTTGCTTAACGTGTTAAAAAATCATCACAATTCGTGCTTTTTTGTTGAATAATTATCATTATTCATTATACGGTCATAACAATTTTCGTTAAATTTCCCATTTAAACGAACAGAAATTAAAACTTACACTTCATCCTTGCCAGAACTCCTAATATTTATTGGCATGCTTTGAATAAATCAATAATGAATTAAAATCAAAGGAAAAACCAAATCATAAAACTAAATAAACAAAAATGAAATTTAACATATGCTTTTTCTGTGATTCAAACTCTGGATTCCATCTGTAGAGCATAATTTTCATTGTACTTTTTTTTGTTGAAAACAAAATTGTGTTGTTCGTTTCATATTTTCGTTGTATTTGCAAATGCATTGCCTAAAATAACTATTTTGTGTATGGCAATAATGAACAAAATGAAATAATTTGTGAAAAAAAATTGATTTCTATGAATTATATAGTGGACGATTTGAATATGAAAAATACTACGTGGAACCACTACCGATCTAAAAGCAAGAAAATCGATTGAATGTCTAGAAAATTGACTGACCAGCTAGCCAAATAAGAGAAAAACAAAAAAATCTTTCTAAACTATTTGCTGTCCGTTAATAATATCAATTTAAAGAAATAAAACTGTTCTATTAATGAAAAAAATCGAATACATGTAAACATTTGAAAAAAGATCTGCTACATACCGTTCGCATTCTTCGATTGCTTTGCGCTCATCTTCGGCTTGTTTTTCACTAATTTGATTCTCTCGTTCTTTTCGTTCGGCTTCAAGACGTTCACGTTTTCGCATTTCCTCTTCGACGCGACGCATTTCTCGAAGCGCAGCGGCTACTTCGCGTGCAAACAGTCCACGTAGATGACTTTGAATAACAATACATGCACGTCGTTTGCGCAAGAATTCGATTCGTGATCGCCACCCTTTATGAGCATGCTGTATTCTAAGTGCCGCATCTCGAATTTTATTATATTTCTTTTGTTGGCTATATCGACGCCATTCCTTTTGAATGATGACCGCTTTTCCATTTATCACTTGTTTACGAGCATCCTCCAACGGTTCATGGACAACACTACGCAAAAATACTTTTGTTTTTCCCACTTGCCATTCACTTTGCGGAATGTTTAGTTCCGTTATTACCGCTGTCACTTGGTCACGATTCGATTTAATGCCATGCCATTTTGTCAGGCATTGATATCTAAAAGAGAATATGATATTGAAGTAAGTGCAATGCTGAATTTTTAAGTGGATTTATTCCTACTCACTTGTTTACAAACTCATCGAATGTCATATGAATGGGAAAACCTTCTCGTCGAATTCGAATGATATCAAGCATACCAAGATAACGAAGTTGATCCAAAACCAGCTCTGAATCGTAATCATTCGGGAGTTTATCGGCATTCGGTTTAATACATCTTACATACCTAATTTTAAATACACACATTATTAGGACATTACCCATGGCAAATAGTTTTATTTTCGTTTTGTATGCAATTTACATACCATGGATTTGTGCTTTGCAGCACATCGACTAATGATTGAAGTTGCTGTCTGAACGTATCCGAAACGGTGAGCTTTCCTTTCGATGTTCCGCGTTGAATTGTGGTCGCAGTGGTTCCGTTATTTATTTGATTTTGATGCTGAATCGTAAGTAGATCCGAATAGGATGCCAATTCTTGAACGAATGGATTACCACTTCGGCTCATAAAATCGAATAAAACATCTTGCTGAACGTCTCGATTCTTATCAACAAAACCTTCAACGACATAGCTCACACAGCCAGCATAGTGTCGAATACCGAATTCAGTTTCCCAGTGTCGACGATCTGCACCTTTGATGTAGCAACTATTCGATTCAAATTCGCCATGTAAATTTGTTAAATAGGCTGTATCGGATCCTTTTGGCATGTGACATTGTTCCGTTAGCAATTTTAAAATACAACGAGGTGGCTTCTCAATTAATTCCAAACATTGCGTATTATCAGTGAATTGAATATGCGAAAATGTAATCTCTTCTTGTTTATACTGCAAGAAAATGCCAAAATACATAAACATTAAAATTTAACTAATTCAATTCGATGCCAACAATTTTCACTTACACTTTCTTGTTCCAATGCGAAAACATAGTGATTGAAGAATTTGTGCAATTTTTCATTTGTGTAATTTATACACAATTGTTCAAAGGAGTTGACTGCAAAATTTTCGAAACCGAAAATATCTAAAACGCCCAAAAATCGGCTGGCATCATTTCCTGGATTTATACATGTATTTATGTGGTTGATTAACCAAGCAAATGTGCGTGAATAGAGCGCTTTGGCCATCTGAAAAGTGACAAACAAAGACATATTCAAATTGAATTCAGGCGAAATTAAAGAAAAAAAAATGATGAACTATAGTGATCATTTACCGCATTTCGATTTTCTCGTGCTTCTTGTACTTTCAATGGTATTTCAGTGATATTTCCGCGTACATTAATCTGACGTTTGAGTGCAACTTGAATAATTTCACTTTCTTGAATGCCCATCACTTTGGCCACAATTTTAACAATATCGTTATCTGAATCGGTCAATTCGCATCGTTCGCCATCCACGTCAGCAAAATCCAAATTTCCCAACCACAAAATGGCACTCAATACTTTTAATATTCCATTTATAATTGCTTCTGGTATTTGAAGGACGGTGAACGCCAATCGTAACGCTTCGAATCGTTTGGCTTCTAAATGAATTTCGGCTTCGGTATAAGTAGCGCCATTATTCGTATTTGGACCACCTACGGAACAGAAATATTTAACAGAGTGACAAAATTATTCAAAAATAAGTGGGAGGAAACCCCAACGAAAGTAAATATTCAAGCTCATTACTTACCATTCAGATATCGATAGAACGATGGATCTCGTAAATGAAGAGTTTTGGCCAATTCTTCATTTCGTTTGCCTTCGGCCACCAATTGATAAAGAACATGATAATTTCGTTCGCCGGCACTTTGAAACGTAATTCGTGATTGCTCCAATAAATAATCCTGTATAATACAACCTTTTATACACCATTTGGCATCGAAACAGACTTGCATAAATTTTCCAAAACGCGAACTATTGTCATTTCTAACGGTTTTTGCATTGCCTAAATACACGCAAAACAAAATGCAACGATTAAAATTCGCCAAATCTCACAAATAACGTCGTAATCATAATTTTAATTGATTTATTTTCGCTTACCAAATGCCTCCAGTATTGTGTTTGCTTCGAGAATTTGTTGTTGCACCCATGTAGACACATCACATGTCACAGAGCATAAATATTGCAGCACAAATTTGGTCGTTTCGGTTTTTCCCGCACCCGATTCACCTGATATAACACACGATTGATTTCGATCACTGTCCAGCATATTTCGATAAGCAGCTTCGGCCAATGCAAATACATGTGGTTCCAATATGCCCAATTTTTGGCCATGATATTTAAATACGTATTCCTAGTTGTATTTATAAAAAGATTATTACCGAAATGAATTATGACGAAACATCACACCATCACGAATCGCATTGAACTGATTTTAACCAGTTCATGGTGTGAATGCCCTTTATTTTAAGTCATCAGTTTTCCTTTCGGCTACTTACCAATGTGTAACAGTCTATTTCTTTGTACGGATTTACGGCCACTAGAATACTGCCTGTATAAGTCTGTGTTGCAATTTTTGGATTAAGGAAAATTGTGTGTGTTTTTTTTTTGTATGCAAGTATTTTAAAATAATCTGTTACGGAATTCTTAATTCGAAAATAAGTGTAATTTTCTAAGCAAACAAAATGTAAACAACATAAAAGACAGAGAACTGTCGAGGCTTCCCTCGATCCATTGAAAATAAAAAAAACAAAGTATGCATTGATTTTAGATCATACTAAAGGTGACTTTCCAAGCTAGAAAGATCAATTTCATTTTATCTTTGTCTTTTGACTCGGAGAGTTATAAGTGAACGGGACATTTTGGATTACAAAGACATGTCACCCCATCTAAGTACCTGAAACGGTAATTGCATACCGGAAAATAAGGACCAAATCACATGTAATCATCATTCATCAGTCAGATCACTCATTCATATAAATTCGTTGGCATGCAACACTGATTATTATCGACGACAATTTTTCCACTTGACAAGTTTCGCATGGTGCTATGTTGAATATGCAATCATCTAATGTCGATTAACAAACTTAAATACCCTAGAACATGTTTGTATGCTAAATGTTTACACAACGAATGTGCACCGCTATCGTGATGCCGACTTTCTTCTTCTCCTTCTTATTATTATTATCATCAATTCAGCACATTTACGTATGTGTTTGCTATCTAATGTGATTCTAATTGGTATATTTCTTTTTTCTATGTGACTACGCTACATTAATAAAAACTAAGTTTTGGAAAATCTTTCATTTTTGTTTGAAATTTTTTGTGTTATTTCCAAACAAAAATTTTTTTTTTGAAAAGGATACGTATATTTGATCTCTATCGTAGCGAACTTTCAAATTGTGATTTATGCCATTTTCATCGATATCCGATATTAATGTCATATCTGGCACACCTTTGTCGGATGTGGTGCCGAGACGACCTGCAATGATAAAAATATATATATATATAATATCATTTTTAATATATATAATAAGTTTTAATTGTATCTTTGAGCATTGAGAGCATTATAAATATAAAAATATATTGCATTTTGCAGTGGGAATCCATCAGAAATTAACTAATTTCATTGGATCAAAGAAAATACAGCAAATTGGATAAAATCATAAATTAATTAATTTAATCCATTTTAGTTCGAAAAAAAAAAAAACATTTGTCTGAACGTTTGAACGACCAAGTGTTGTTATTGCAAATGCATTTTCATATTATTAAATACTATGGATACCCCTCTGTTATCCCTTCTATTTGTGTGTTCAATGCAATAACAACACGAACACCCAATATCGTCGATGGTTATGTAACAAAAATTATAAGAAGTCAATATCGAATTCGCCGCTTCACCATTTTTCTCATTTTCATGTGAAATAATAAATGAAACATTGGTGTGTCATTGTTCATTACAATCGTTATGATGTTCGTATATGTTACTATTGCATCGAAAAAGAGAGAGAAAAAAAAGAGACAAAAGAGAGAAATGAATATGGCAAGGGGACAATGAACTTGTGCGCTCATCATACCATTTGAATTTAGAGGCAGCAAGCAGCGCATGCTGCATAGAACAAATAAAGAAATGCACAACGCATTAAATTTGTATTATTATGACTTAGAATATGTATAGTTAAGTGTCCTACTGGCTACGCCTATTCTGTTGCTATTTTTCTGTTTCTTTCTCAAATGCAAACACTAAAAAAACCGCCGTAGACATATGATCGTGTTTTAAAGAATCAAAATGCTTTTTTCCGCATTCAATTTTACTATCGTCGATATTTAAATCAACTTATGACGCCGAACAAGAAGCGAAAAAAAAATAACAACCACACACACTTATGGTCATAATGCTGGTATACATATCATACGATTCAATGGCATAAACAACAGCAACTTAAATCCCATTTTTTTCGTATCGGATTTCGTGTTTATTGTCATTTCTCACAGATCGGTGCACGTTTGTCTTTTATTTAACTTAACCTCTGGTTTTAAAATCCCTTTTCATTCCCTCGTCTTTATTCTCCGCAACAAAACATAAGCATGTTTTAAATGGTACGAAAAGTGTGCCTAGTCGCGAGCATAATTATAAAATTGATATTGGATCGTCAATGAAAGCATGCCGAAATCAATTTTATTGGCCAACAACATTTATGTGTTCAACATAAAAAAAGAAATGTCATCTGAAACATTATACGAAATGCATCTATGGAGCTATATTTAGATTCCATAGAGAAAATAGATGGTAAAGCAAAGATAAATGCACACGATAGTGTCAACAAATTCATATAAATTTTGCTACCGTGTGCACGTCGAAACGTACGTCGTAGATGGTGAGTAGGTTATTTTTAATGAAACATGCATTTTCATCTGCACAAATCTTTGGCTTAAATCACCAGAAAACATGTGACATTCATTCGTTAGATCTCAAAGAACCTTAAGTAAATATCGTTAATTTCCTGTGCTTTCACGCGTTCACATAAGAACGATGCTGTTTTCACATTTTATGGTATATATATTTCTTTAATTTTAAATCGTTTCTCTTTTCTTTTCTTTTTTTTTTTGTGTATCGTTCACATTTTGACAGAGATTCATTTTTCTTTCCTTCTTATGCATGCATGTCGACCGTCAGTGTGTTGTTGCACGGTTCTTTTTGTGCTTTGGACACGCTACATGTGTCCGAGTTATTATGCAAAAGTAGCGGGATGGCAGGTGTTTATGTTATACATAATCTATATGCGTCAAAGAAAACTGAGAGTGCATCATGCAAGCATGAGAAGATGAAGTAGAAGGGTATTCGAGAACTACAGTTTGGAGAAAAGATCGCCAAATTTTAAGCATGCAGATGTTTTTTTCTTCGTTCGTTCGTAAATAAATGGATAAGTCTTTTAAACCAGAGATTTCATGGAAATTGTACTGTAATTTGCATTTGATCATCCGAGCAGATGCTCGATATATAAATTTAAACAAAATGCCGATACCGCGATTTAAGATCGAATAAAAGGGCCGATTCTTCGAATAAAGTTGGGTAATTTGTTCATGGTGTACATGATTAAATGATCCATATATTTACAGAGTTAGATTTTAATGGACATGAAATTTGTGTTTATTCATCTATTAAACTATTATTTATACAACGCATTCATATAAATCATATTCACCGGCTTCGTACAAGTTCAACACTTTTCATGTGGTTACTTTTACTTCGAACAAGTACAAATTCAACGCTGGCTGGAGATCAAATGAAACACACACACAAAAAGCAACAACAATAATAACACAGAATTTGTAATTAATAAAGATTTCAATTTGTTTTGAATTACATTCGTTTTCATTGTTTCAGCTGATTTTTTTTCTATATTATCTCATTATGTTCTGCGGTATGCGGGTGCATGTTAGCAACTAGATCCTTTCATACACTAACATATATATCGATTTGATTGAAGTGTTCGAGCCCATTAAGTACAGTATTCTACTGTAGCCAATATTTTAATCAATTTTTTTCATCGTTATTTACGATCGTATATCTTTCGATTTTTCAGTTATACATCTTCAATTTGTAAATGATGTGAGCGATTTTTTGCGTGTTTCGAATATTTTCCCAAAGTAACACTGATTTAAAATGGAAGAGTTTTTTTTTCTCTTTCGAAATGTACCAAAAACGCGTGAGTGCGTCCAATTTTTGTTTCGATTTCCATTGTGGTAGACTTAGATATAGGCTTTACGTTAGAAAATAATCAAACGAGAAGCTATATACGTATAACGAACATTTTTTTCGGCATCAAATGAATTGAAGAAATAATTCAATAGATAAAATCTGATATTTCAAAATGTGTCAAGAATTTTAACATTTTATGAATGCCGTCGAGAGGCTTGACTCTTAACCGTGACAAAATCAAATTAGCCACACACACACATATGTTAATCATTCATCAAATGAAATGGCTACAAAACAATTGAGACAATTAATTATTTATGTGTTTTTTTTTTATTTCTACATTGTTCGCCCTTCTTAGCTGCTATTTATGTTTTCCGTCTTAACTGGGGACGATTCCAGTAATATTCATGTATGACCAAAACGAATGCATTTTAGAAGATAAATGGATGCATTTCAATTGCCACACACGAAACTTAAATAGTTGTAAAGTAAAGTAAAAAAAGGCAACAGCATAATGACTTCCGTTGTTGACAAATTGGTCTGCTCGTTAAAAAACCAAATAGACAACGATAATTTGATGTATTCGAGGTGTTGATTGTGAAAAGTGGCAATCCAAAACCAAAAAAAAATTGTGTTTAGCATGGTAAATATATGATATGTGTTTAATTTAATTTGCAAAGCGATTTAATTCTTAAATGAATGAATGGATCTTTCCTATTCAATTTTCGTCATTAGAAATAAATTAAAGTTGAAAATCATGAATATAAATTTAATTGAAGACACGGACATGTTCCGAATAACGAAAATTGCTGGCTAGCATAACATTGTGGTTTTTATATTAATGGTTTGAATTTCAAAAGAAAAACACATATATAAATGTGTGTTGATATTTTGAACAAATTGAAACTGCTAAGCATTTTTCAGTTAGTTCGTGTTTTTTTTTCTCTATGTTTTCTTTTCATCTGATTTTTTTTCACTCTTGTGAAGCAAAAAATAAAAATAAAAATTGGTTCCACACGAAACACAAAGGTTGTGAGCGTTAACTTTCACTTGTTATTGGCGCAGAATTTATGAATCTATATCGCTGCATTTGAAACTCATTCACCGAACACGTAAATTCGTATTTCCATTTAGATGATTACATATTTTCGTGTTGATGTCTTCGTTTATACATTACAATTTTTGCTCTCACCACGCCGCACCATTCAATAGCTTGGTGTGAACGAATGTTGTGCGACACCACATCATATATCTATTTCTATTACTGTTTCCATTTCTATGGAGCATTTCGTTGAGAGCAAAGAACTTTTTTGTTTGAACTTGAGTGGGTTGCAAAATCCATTTAAATTAAGCTACGCCACTTTATGGGCTACGAACGCGCATGTCGGTCAGAAAATATGTGTCGTATCAATGTGTCAAAAAAAGAATGCGATTAAGAAAAGATTCATCACCTGATATCGGCTGGATGTAGAGAATTGAAGTTTTATTGATGCCGTCATAAATTTTAAAGTTATGCGATACATTTTGAGTTCATGGAAATGCGTGCACTCTACATCTTAAATATATGAATCAGCATCGTATCCAAGCAACAATTTGATGATGGTTTGCCGCAGCTATGGGAAAGAAAATATTACCAAGGTACTAACGCGTGCTAACAACGGTACCGTCATGAATGATAGATATTTTGTCTTCTTATTTTGTTTTGCCGGATTTTCGCTTAATCATCGTTCGCTACGAACAGAGCAGTTAAACGTCGTGCGCAACACAAACAAAACGAAGACAGAACGTCACAGTAGAGAGGAAGAGAGAGAGAGAGGAAAAAAGAGCCCGAAAGGTGAACATTCAACACTCGTATCGATGACTCATTACGGTCATTGTCTGCCTTACTTCTTTTTATTAATGTGTATTTTTTAGTGTGACTCCCAAAATTTCTGAGAAATATACGACATTACAGCACACAGGTTTTGAATGAAGATTCAATATAATTAAGTAATCATATCTCCGATTACACATTTTTGTTGGTTTTTTTTCTCACTTCCTTGTAAAATTGGGTTAAAATAATCAAACGATTATTTTGAATATGATTTAGAATTAGTACCATAATCGGACACTCGATTTTGATTTGGTCATTTCTTCATAAACTCATTTTTGTATTTTGTAGATTCCGCTAGATACATAGAAAGAACGTTGACATTATTTCATTCATTATATTTTGACAATCAATTTTACTTCACAAAAAATCCATCAATGTGAGCTCCACAGCCAAATCAAATAAAATGTTTTTTTTTTTTTTCTCGAATGCATAATCTAAAAACATGATTTTTCGAATAAATTGATGATTTGTCAAATGTGATAACCCTGAATAATATCGCATATCTGAATGTATTCGAATACGAAATATAATCGTAACGTGAAAGTAATCTCTTTATTCAACTTGAAATGGTGAAAAGTTCAACTACACCAATACTGTGTCATTGCTTTGATTTTGAACATCGTTCAAACTGAACGAAAAATAAAAAAACATTGAAATTCGATTCACGTTAACGACGCTTCCTTCAAATAAACGACTATCACAATATTTCGATCAATGGACAAACAAATATCCGCACGACTAATGGGAACCAGAGCCAAAGAATCGACTTTGTTGTTTCTCCGTTTAATATACACTTACACGCACACACTCACACACACACAATTTTAATTAAAATCGAGTCAATGTTAAAGAATGTGACAAAGAATTTAGCTAGCACACTGCATTGTTAACGTGCCGGATATAAAATAAACGAATCGATGCCGTAAATGCGTTTTCATTGGGACAGACAGTCACATCATAATAAACATTACGAGCAAAAAAAAAATATGAATCGCCATTTGTGAGTTCAATATCTTGATATGAACGTGTTTTTAGTCAGATTGGAACGAAAGTTTGAACATAAGATACAATTTAATTTGAAATTAAAAAAACACGAAGAAATAAGCACAGAATTACAAAGAAACAAAAAAAACACATTAAAGATCCAATCCAATGTGTGAACGATAATGATAAGTGTGGTTTGTGATTATTGCAGACTCATTTCAACTATGAAAATCATTACATCTTCATCTTCCAATTCAGTTTTCTTCAAATTCGCATCGAATGAAAATGAGAACAATTATAATATTTGCTCACACATACAAAAGCAGCGCTGCGACTATTCTACGATCAAGATATTAATTCTTCTTCGGTTTCATGTGTATAATTCAAACGAAATAATGATTCTGAGTGGACGCCTGATGCATTTTAATCAACAAACCGAAACCGCCACTCTCAACACACTAGTGTGAAAAAATAAAAAGAAGAAGAAGTAATAAGTAGCAAAATGATTGAATGCGAACTTGTGTTTGTTTGAAGAGATTGAGAGTGTGAGATAAATAGATGCGATGCAATGAACGCGAATTCAGCAGTCTCACTGAAAAACGGATGTATTGCGTCTTTAAAGAAACAAAACGTATATTATTTCAAATTTATTATTAATTGAAGCGAGAAAAAGTACATTGTGCACACAGACAGCCTATGTCAGTAATGGACTGTTTCTTTTGCCATTATTTGAAACTTGAAAAGACACTCGCACGTGGAGCAATACTATGTTATACATTTCATATGTTTCTTTGCTTATATTTCGCTCATAAAACTTCCTCTATGAAGAAATGTCGGACTAATTCAAAGTGTCTAGTTAATATTTATATACAAAAAAAGCGCATTGCGTACATGAGATTTCATTTAAATTAGTACGAACACAAGCAAAAAAAAACTATGTCGAAAAAAATGAATGGCATTGCTGCTTTATGTATGTGCCGAAATCTATGGAAATTGATGGCATTTTGGCCAAGTTTTTTTTTCAAAAAATACTTTTTTCCGCATACACAATTAAATATTTATGGTTATGGTATAATGTGACTGCGTCACAAACAAATTCTTTTTTATTTTATTTCGTAGTATGTGTGCATATAATAAAAACATAAATCCAACATTGTCTGGAGATAAAGACATATAGATAAAGAATTATTCATTCCATACTTTAGTTGATTATATTTTTCACGCTTTAAATAGTTTGAGACCGCTGCGGTTTAGAAAGACAACCTCTTTGCACAAAAGATATTTTTTACTATTGTCAAACATTTCGGGATGTATATGTTATTTACACCTATGGCGTCTGCCGCCAGTCAACGTTCGTTAGCTTATCACCGGTAATGTGATTGTTGTTGTTGTTTTCTGTGGCAGGTAGCATCTGGTGATTATGTTTTTTAATTTATTTGAAACCGAGTAAGAGGCAATTCATCGATAAAACTATAAATAGTCGATAAAATTGTTCTATTTTATGTTGATCGAGAGAACAAGAAAAGAGATTGGTCAAAATGAAAAAAAAACCGATGTCTCGTGTTAAACGTGTAGCATTCTCTCTCTCTCTCTCTCTCTCTCTCTATGCTATCATTAAGTCGCGCGTTGTAGGGTGTGTAATTTGTCGAAGCCGAAGAAGATTTGCGAGCAAACAGTAAAATGTAGAACGGGAGAATAAACTGCATGTTGTAATATTGATTACTTGTCTAGTGTGCGGTTATAGTAAATAGAACGTTTGCAATGAACGTGAATGAAATTGTATGGTATTTGCTTTCGATTTCAAACAGTAACATTTCCCAATTCCCAAAATATTACCTATTTTTAGACAAAACGAATTGATTGCCGTTCTCGTAATAGATAAAATAAAAACCAAACCCAAAATAAATAAGTAATGGTGAACACATGCATGCATGCACACCAACACTTCTGATTTCCCTTTTCGCCTACACATTTTGCTTTCATCTACCAAAATAAATGAAAACATGCTTTATAAAATGCGTCTATAACAAAAATGATGTGCGGAGAATAAATGCCAAAAGCTACTTATCGCAGCTTTTTTTTACAAAAATCATTTTTTCGTTTTTATTTTAAACAGAAAAAAGAACACTTGGCCAGACAAATATTCATTACGACGAGACACTGGAAATGCATGTGTATATATATGCTCAAGTCATAATAGTTTTTAGAGGAAAAAAAAATAATGTCGAAATGCTCATTGTTCAAAAAATGTGTTATTAGGCGTTTTTCTTGCTCATATCGAAGTTAGATTACAGTCTGAAGAATGAAAGGCCCGAAAATGAGCTGCATCTAATTTATTGCGGTTCACTGTTCTTGAGTTGTTGTTTTTGTGTTTTTTTTTTTCATTTCGTTTCTATTGTTTCGGCACACATGACAAGAGTACAATGCATTCGGTTGCACAAAAAGTTTCTGCATAATATGTTCAAATGGAATATTGTCAACAACCAAAAACAATTAAAATGCTTGAGATTGTTCATTTCTTTTTGTTGTGTTTGTGTGTGTGTGTTTTTTTTGTCTCCCTGTTCCCATATTATGAATGAGTTTGCCTTTGTATATGTGTGGCGAATTACTTACCCTCTGCAAAAATTGGAACAGCCATGTTTGTGTGTGTATGTGTGTTGATGACTTTTTTTCTTCAGTACAAAATCGAGTTCACGAGGTATTGTTGTTAGAGTGGTAGTTACGGTGGCGGCAACGCGGCAATATGAACAAGGATAACACTGCGCTTATATATTGGATGTGTTGGTGGTAAAAAAAAAACAAACAGTATCCCGATACGAGTGTTCATGTAATTTGAATTGGTGTTGCTTAGCTCGTGCTATACTTTATCTTTGACATACACACACATGTATACATACACCGAATGCGTACTAATGTTCAATGGATGCGCAAAAAGGGTGGTTCCACACAACAACTTACATATAGATACAAAAATTTATTTATGTTCAATTCACTCGTTCTTTTTTTTCGTATTTATTTGTTTTCTGTTCGCTGTTTTATTTACACTTTTCACTTTTTGTAATTAAAACTTCAATGAAGATGCAATCGAAATGATCTATTCTATGTTACAGTTATCAATTTTCGGTTAAAATATCAAATTTGCAAACAAACCGCGTCGTTAGCCAAGTAAAAAGAAAAAAAAAACGATATACATCTATTTTGCACGCAACATTAAAATTTCAATTGTGGAATTAAAAGAAAAATGACGAAATCGACGCCGATATTTAAAAAAAAGAGTTAGTTTCTAAGCAGCCGTTTAGTTGCATTGTCAACAAAACCACTATTTTTGCAATCTTGTTTTATGGTCGCACGATTAATGAATGAATTTAACACGATTAACCGATGGAATACAACGCGATGCAGACCTTATGTATCTTTTTCCGCATTCATATCTACTCTAATACAACACAAAAATTATATTTGCACGTTTGTTTTGACTTTTTACATACACACACACACACTAAATAAACGAATCACATTAAGCAAATATTTATAAATGTGAACTGATGTTAAAAACTGAATGTTTATAGCCAAAGCATTCATCAATGTTCACAAAAATGAACTAACATCGGTGTTGTTTCTTTTTTTTATTTGTTGCTGTTGTTTTTTTTTTCTTCTTCTACATTAAGAAATGAAAAACGATTATGCTGACGATAGAATTTGCAACTTTTATCCCACCATACACACAAATTATATTCATTTCGTTTCAAATCTTTTCACTTCGTCATTGGGAAACATATGATTACAGTGTTATTCCTTGTTGTGTGTATCTTTTATTCAACAGCGTTCTCAGTGTGCTGGGTATCCAACAACGGCTGACGAAGAACTGAAAAACCAAATGTTAGACGGCAAATGCCATACCATCTGTGTATATCACTGTACAACGGCGCACGGTTTGTACATATGTTGTAGAGTTTATCCTACTCTCTTTTTTGCTCTCTCTCTTTCTCTTCGCTTCTCCTTTTAGCATGAATTCATATTAACGTTATGACAACTTCGTCGCATTGATTGCATACAGCTAGTGCGACGGTGAGGCGAAGATAAAAGAAAAAAACAAGTAGAAAGAGAAAAGAGAAAGAATCTCAAGAGAATCGCATGGCAATTTATATTGTTTATATGATTTTACATTTGCAATGTAATCGCCATTGTATTGTAAACATGTGTTTTTAATAAATTTTTAAGTTTTTTTTTTAAATTTACTATCCAAACACAAAGCAAATATAGATAAACGAAATTTTACTGGACAACACATTTTTACAAAATTTAATCGAAAAATCGCATTTATATTATCACAATACTCATTTTCAGAACGGTGAAGTAACGCCATCTTCATGCATTTTAGAGAAATGATGGTCACTGCAATAGTTTGATATTTTTATTTAGTAAAAAGAATTCGGTAAAGATTTCGACACATGAATCTACGACTGATTTTTATTTATTTAAGACGCAAATAATTGATTCAATGATATATTGGGCGTAATGTAAAAGAAAAGGTTTTTTTAAATGTTTAATTCAACTTTATTTACCGCTACCAAATTATTTACTTCTATCGACAAGCCAAATTGCCTGGATATCATCGTCCATTCCCTTTTAAAATGTTCAATAAATTAGGAGTCGTTTGGTTAATATTTTTTTTTTGCTTCATTTATTTTTGTTTATAATGACAGTCACTACATTTTCATCAGCAAATATTCATTCATGATTAGGTATTAGTTTTGAAAATGTTGGTTTCAATATTTGCGCTCTTGTTGGAAAAACAAAATGGCTGCTCTCCTAATCATTTACTTTGTTTATTTCAATTCGGTGAAATTAAATTTATTCTATGACAAATATTGTATTGGATGATTTATTTACTTTCTTCAACACCTTTTCTGTAGTCTGGAGCTGGGCACTCCAATTTCGAGTAATCAATATTTGGTGAGTACAACTGAAACGTAAACAAGCCATCATAAAGATGTTTTTATTTTTGTTCGAAATCGTGAATGGTTTGATTATAACATCTATTTACCTTGTACTGCTTGTTGCGGTATTTTTCCCATGGTTCTGGATTAGCGTTACGACTCCATGTAACATCTGGGCTTTGAGTGGCCAATCGCAAAATAATGCCACCAGACAACATACCACCAACTCCAATGATGACTACGAGCGGAATCAACTGAAATCAAATAATATTCATTACAACATTTATTGCCAATCGTTTTGTCCACAATTTATATGTAATAATAATAATATATATTTTTTTTGCTCTAAAAAATTGATACATTTATCGACTTTATGTTTAATGAGCCTGTAATGATTACAGTTTTTCTATAAAACTGTCATGTACTGTATGGGTTATATAAGCTTGTGCCCATCATATTACGCGACTCCAAATTCATTTTTTTGACACGCAGTTTACACTAACTTATAGAATAGCAACGAAAAAAAATCAAATAAAATCATTCTACTTACAGCTGGATGCTTTTTAAGTGTTGCAATTGAGAACAATGGTGAGCCCATTTTATTGAATTAATATTTCGGAATTTAGCCAACAAAAGTTTGTCTCTATTCGATCGTCGCCAATGTATTTCTACTAATGATGAGTGAAAAAAAAGTGATGTATGAAAATGTCAACGTCTCTATACATGCGCAGCAACATCAACGCCTCTGACGGAAAATATACATAAACATACTGACATTGTTGTTTATTGTATACCTCTTGCTTTGTACTCAAATTTTCATTAAATTTAGTACGTGTTTCAATAGACATTTGATTTGATTCATATTATTGTGTTAGAAAATAGATTCTTTTTTATGCTGAAATATACATGAACAAAAAAGGTAAATATTTCGTTAAATATTCAGCAAAAGAGGAAATTCTCTCTTAACGTATTCGCACTGGATGGATTTGTTGATGGGAAACTCTCACGAAGCATTTGGAGACAATGTATATAAGCGTCCATTTTGGTACGAAAAGTTACAATTTTTTTTTCGTCAAAAGAATCGAAAACTTATGCTGTAATCAATGAATTGAAACGGGACATCATTTTTCACAGCTTTTCGATTTTTACTATCCTATACAATTTAAGTTTTTTTTTCTCGCCAAAACCACGGATTCGCAAATATTTCTTGCAATTTTAAAATCGCATTTCAAATTTGTTGGTGTTAGCATAAAGCAACACTTTTGGTAATATTATATGGTTAATTTCATACATTAAACCAAAAGAAACATCAAACAAGTCGAAAAGATTGTTAGCCTTCGCAGAGGAATTATTCCCTCTCGTTTCACTTTTCTATTTCATTCTCATCAATATCATCATTTTGTGGTGGAATTTCTTTTAAGTAAGAAATCGTGTGATAATGTGAATAGGGAACAAATAAAAAGTGAAATGAGTGCATCAAAATGTCTTAAATGATAAACAGTCTTCCACAACTCAAAACTGTAAACGTTGTTGATCGTATTCTTCCATGTATTTTTTTTGTCGAAAAAAAAGGGAAAAACAGTTCGGTGGTGTACACAGTAAGTGTGACAATATCGACATAGACGCCCAATCGAATGCACGCCATGCTCTATGTTTGATTCGACACATTTAAATGTTTTTCTATTCCAATCTATAAAATGTGCTTATTTTATTTATTTTACAGAAATGCATCAGTTGCTTAGGTGATAAGATCACGCATTTTCAACGTTGGTTAAAATAAACGGCAGATTATTCAAATATTTGAAATTTCACTAATATAAAAAAAAGAAACACTTGGCCAAGCAGTTCGCATATAATCATGGGCATGTGTTAACCGATTGTTGATCCAAAAACGATTTTAATTGTGATAGTGAAAAGAAAAACGATGTGGTGTAGTCCTTAAGCAAAGTAATAAGTGAACTATCTAAAAAATTTACCATTATTTTTGTGAGTGAAAATCAATACAAACAAGAATTATATCAATTATGGCCACCCGAGAAGTATCACTCTCCAAGGTAAAACATTGCATAATTTTGCTATCAACACTTTTTCTTCCAGTTTTGAAACAAAAAATAAATGCCACTTTCTGTAGGTCTATCTTGTTTTTTGTTTGAAAATATTATTTGCGGCAATTGTTGCAATAAATTGCAGATTCTTTTTAAAACATGCATATGTATGAATATATATATGATGAGTGTATTTTCAAGGAAAATTCCTTGGTTCAAGTGATTTTATTTGAATTTGAATATTGTGATAAAAATTTAATGTGCCAGTGAATCAAATCCATTCGATTATATATGACATCGAAAATGTCAACAGTTCCGGCGTTGACGATTGTGCTTATGCTGCTGCCATCAAACGGCCATAAATTATAATATTCTAAAAACAATGGTATTCATTACTTAATTTACAGGTCGAACAGGAGGTTGAACAGAATGTGTTAACCATGAAGGTTGAGCTAAGCGATGGTACAACGGGATACATTTTTTCACGGAATCCGCATCGTAACGAAGCACAATATCTCACCTACAACTGTCACATTTGCAGCGTTCCAAATTTGCCCGGTGAACGTTGCTTGTATACACATATTGGTGGTCGTCGTCATCAAACCAAATTAACAACGAAACCATTCGATGCAAATTTATTTCGTGCACCAATGCAACGGTCCAATAAAAGTACGTTTGCGTTGACTGGACTTTTATGTTTAAACATTTATTTGATGTATTCTCTGTGGAGAATTGTCCAAATTTTAAATTATTCAATATACATGCCACACACGTTTCTCACATTCTTTTTCTGAAAACAGTTGTCATGCAAATTGCACCAGGCGAACCAGTTCCACCTGGTTTTGAAAATGAAGTGAAAGCAGTGGCTGAAATCCAATCGAAAATTGACAAATACAAAAGTGTTCCATTCATTGGTCTTGAGTATTTATTGGAATTGAATTTGCGCGACGATAAGGAGCCGGGCTATTTATGTATATTGTGTGAAAAACGCGGCGATCCTCGTACAATTATGGACCACCTTACCAGCTACAAACATCGCTTGAAATATTTGGTAAAATTTCCAATTACTTACATTGGCAACAACTCTAGAATACAGAGAAAATAAATAAATAAGAAAAAAACATGCTTCGAAATTATGTCGTGTATTTTCTACATGTTGAATAAACTGTATTCTTATTTTGTTCTTTCTTCCATATTCTTCTATTCAATTCAAATAATAAAACGAATGTACATTTTTACGAATTTGATATGAAGGAAAAACATTTTCCAACGGTAACACGCGAAATTTCAGTGTATCGATATAATCGTGACGCACGTGATGTATTACCACACATTATTCAGAAAATTTGTGAATCAATTGAAGATCATTACGGTCGTCTGGCACCAAACGTTTATGATAACGATGAATATGAGAGAAATCGGATGACATGTCTTCAGGAAATAATCAACGATAAGCATTTTAGTGAGAAAACTGGGCCATCATTTATTCATGTGATTAATCCCAAAGAAATCGAAGACTGGATCGCCAAAAGTGAGTTCAAACAAATTACCACGTTCACCACACATTCATTTAATGCGAGAGAAAGAAAAGAATAACTAACCGATTTTATGTTTCAGGTAAAGCTAAATTTCCGACGTCAAATAAACGTAATGCATCTCCGCCTGAATTTGATTCATCCAAACGTGGTCGCTCGTCCAATGAACGTAGACGAAGTTTGGACTCGATCTCAAGCATATCAAGTTCATCATTGGATCGATCACCAGTTTCACGGCTGCAAGAGAGACGAAAACCATTTAAAGCCGAAAAAGAAGAAGATGTCATTTATATTCGTTCACAATCACGCTCATTGTCTCCAGGTGATCCGGCCCATGCGTAAGCAACCTCATTTAACAAATTGTATTCTTCTTGTCATTTTTTTTTTTTTGAAATTATCCAATTTTACAATAAATTTTAGTCGTCACAAGCTATCACGTTCAAATTCAAAGTCGAGATTGCGTGGTATCCCATCAAAAAATCGGTCACGATCACCTCATTCAAGGTTCATACCGACATTTATTTAATGATTTAATTTGATTGCCATTTGACATCACTAACAATTTTAACTATTATATGCATTGGCATGGTAACAGAACCAAGTCACCAGGGCGTCAAATTATTCCAACTCCAAGAGAATTATCCATGCAAGCGGATGCAATCAGCGCTGAAGGATATAAATGGGAAAAATACAGGTTGGACATTTTTGTTTCAATTTTTTTAAAATCAAAATTGTGAATACTGTAGAAATCGAGGGTGTGACAGACCAACATTTTATTGAATAATCATGTGTTTAGATGCTTGGTTGAAAGTGCGGTAAAAGATATGGAAAAACAGCGCCAAGAATATGAAAAAAGTCCGGAAAATCATCCCTTGTATCCAGATGAATGGAAAATATTTTGGAATCGTCGCTATAAAGAACTTCAAGCAGGTTTGCATTCTATTGATAATAATAAAATATGATTATTATTCAAATTATAGAGAAAAGATTACTCTCAAAATTATAATCAACAATATTGTATTTGTAAAACAAAAAAAAATTTAAAGAAGAAAAAATCAAATTAGCACATTATCGATGGTTTATAGTTCATTTGTGATTTTTTTCGTCTATCTCATATATTTCGTATTGACGGGATTTTAGAAAAGAAAGATCCAGCAAGTTATGACTTTACGCCGGAGTGGAGAACATTTTGGACGAAACGAATGCGTGAATTACATGACGAATCAGTCGAGAAGAAAAAGGACGAAATTCGAAAAACTTTGAATTTACCGAAAGATGGAAGAGAGCGGACAAATGAATTAAAAGAAAAGTATAACATAAAAACTGCTCCTCGAAAAGAAACAAACGAACCAACCGGATCAACATCAGCATCATCGTTACGAAGAGATAAATCGGAAAAATCACATGCATATGAAAGATGCCGGAGCCGTGAAAAAGTCGCAAGACCAAGTGATAATTACAAACGTTATGAACATGAAAAAAGTTATGACCGTAGCGAACGTGAACGACACGAAGTTGATCGAAGAGACCGAGAACGTCATCATCGACCAAGTTCACGTGGAAGCTATCACGATGATTCGCCACCGCGTTATAGTCGAGAATTACGAGATGAGCACGAACCATCCGAATATTATAAACACAATCCCTACAAATGGCATCCGAGTCAATCAAAATCGTCTTACTACAATAAATCACATTATTATCGTGAAATGCCAATCACCGCACTGCCAAAATACGAGGAACAAAATGACGAAGGGCCAGACGATGATGATCCATTAACCGTTGTTACAGTGTTACGACTTCTTTCTGCATTGGAGGAATTACTTGGGCCAAGTCTTGGTCCAAAAATTGTTGAATTGCTGGCAAAAGCGTTGGCATTGGAAAAAGTAAAAGCAAACGCAGCAGACGATTTGCTGCTGAACGAAGATAATTGTGTTTTATTCGAAACCATCAAAGAGAAATTAAAAGGACAATTAATGAACGATATGGTTGAAAAGCATCGAATAAAAGCAGTAAAACGTGCCATTAAAAATATTGCCGGTGTCATTCATATGGCATCGGAAAAAGAGAAAAATAAGACACCCGAAGAAAAACAACAGGAAGCACTTTTGAAACAGAATTTGGCAGCTGAAAAGGCCGAAAAAGCCGTACCGGAATCAAAAGGTTCCGGCAAAACACCAGACGAAGAAAAACAAGAAATTGCTAAAAAGCTTGCGGCTGCATTGGTTGCACAAGGTAAAACGGATGTATCAAAAGAAGACTTGGAGAATTTAGTTGAATATTATTACAAGCAACGCAAGGCTAAAGAATCGCAATGTGAAACAGCTAATACACCAAGCACAAGTCAATCAACAGTGCCTACATCGAGTAAGCCATCAAATGTGCCACTGTCAAGTGAACAATCGATTGATTTAACCGATGACAGTAGTGAGATAAAGAAAGACCAAGACGAAGGTTTCGATTTGCCATCATCGAATGCCTTGGAAAATTTGACCGATGCTGATCTTCAAACACTATTGCAAAATTTCGAAGATCTATCGACGGAGGAGCAACAACATTTACACAAATATATGAAGAAGCTAGAAGCGTCCGATCCGGCTCGGGTCGAAAAACTTCGAAAATATGTTAACGTTGCATTCGATTTGCAAGCTTCTGACCAAACTACACGAAATGATCGACGATCATCGGAACGTTCCACACACATTGAATCACAATCCGAATTGCGAACAAAACAAAACTCTGACCCATACGATGACATGTTTTATGATGACACCAAGGACGGTATGAAGGTAACAAATATTGTTGATTCAGATGATGATGATTATTCGTACGATGATCTGTGCAAGGCTGCATCAAAAAATGTCAAAGATAAGCAAAAAGAGCTGGAGAATAAACAAAGATCGCCGGAAATTCTTTCAGACAATGATTCGGCAAATAAACATGATCAGTTTATTTTGGATGGTGACCGAAATTTTCATCATTATGATGATTCGAATGCGTCTCGAGCAAGTGGTGAAAATTCGAATTCACGAACTACGTTGCATGACACCGAAAGCATCATAGCCAATTTAATGGGATCCTTGCACAAGAATGTTCAGAATCGAAATTATCCGGATCGCAATCAAATGGATTCAACAAACGAAATGCAACGCCATCAAATTCAAAGCAATGTACCATTTTATATGCAACATCAATCACAAAGTTCATACAACCATGCAAAATCCTCGAATCAAGGCTATGCAAATGAATTCAATTTGAACGGTCAAAATCAACAATTTTCTTCATCCAATCAATTTGATAATGCCTATGCAAATCAAAGTCAAAACTACGGTAATTCTCAAAGACTGAATATTCCATTGAATATTCCAACATACCAGCAACAACAGCAGCAGCAGCAAGTGCAACCACCTCAACTAACAAATCAGCAAGCTGCTTTATTAGCACAATTGAGCCAACAGCAAAATCGTCGTTCAGCATGGTAATTTAAATGTTTTTCTTATGAATGGAGTTCATAATGACTGTCCAACACATCCACATTTAATTTTTTTTTTTTTTTGTACTATTAACACTTTTCTTTTTTTTTATTTCAACGTTATGTTTCACTCTAATGTTATTGAAATAATAAATATCACAAACCACAAACTCATTATATATTAGCAGAAAAATACTAAATACAAAAAAGAACATATACCTATACATTGTGTGAAATTTTATTCACATCTGAATTTAGGCAATTTTTTTGAAGCAAACAAAAAATATTTATAGAAAAACTTCCATCTTTTTTCTATGCTTTTATGATCATACTACCAATAAAAAAATATAATATTTCAAATATTTTAATAAATAAAACAAATTTTTTGTGTGTGTTTTTTTTCTCGTCTCATTTTATTGATAATCAATCAATTTAAAAATTATTTTTCTATCATTTTCTATCTCACTTTCAGCTATATTTTCTTTTATTCAAGACGCATCTTTGAATATTTTCTTTGTAATGTATTCAGACTTTGTTAAAATGCTATACAAAAAAGATATCATTTCCGTTTATCTCTTAGTCTGTCGGTTGAATTACCATTCGATTGATGATGCTATATTGAAAAATAAACAAAAATAATTATTATTTTTATTATTTTGATTTATTTATTATCATTTACCTGAGTGATTGGTTATTTGGACATATTTTTTTAAATGAAACGAAATGAAAAGATAATTTTTTTGCAAGCAATATTTTTATGACTTGGAAACGGTGAAGCATATATCGTTTTTCTTCTAGAGCTGAGATAAAACATTTTGGTGATTTTGAAGTGAAAGTTTGTTATTTTGCTTTTTGTTTTGTCATCGACTGAGATTAATGAAAGTTTGGATTTTGACAAGTATCAAAATTTTGCGCTGGAATGTTTTTCATTACATATGGCACAATTCATGTCAGAAAGAAACTGTGAACAATTCAAAATTTTGTTTAAACTCACTCATAAAAATGTTAACAAAATGTTGATGCATTTTGCAAGTTATATAAATGATATTTAGAGAATTCGAGACAAAAATGCATTGCATTATATTGTTTTACCATGTTTTATTCTGATTCCATGGAACAAAATAAATATTGGTTTTTTGAGATAGAGTAACTTGCAATGATGAGTGATTAAAGCATTAGTCTATATGGCATACAAACATATTTAAAGAGATAAGTCCACTTAGTAGATTAACACTTGGTTAATTACAGTCAGCTATATCACAAACACGCATAAAAAATATGTACCGCATTTCCGTTCATTTTTAATACGATGTTAATAGATTTACATCAAACAAGTACTTTTAATTCAATTATCGAATTTAATCGAAATACATGGCAAAATAAAAAAAAAACAGTATGAAAGCAGTATTTCATGACAAATAGGACTTTCATTACCAAATGATTTGATCGTAGTCAACTTTTTTATGTTCGAAAAAAAAATACAAAAATATTCTCAATTAATGACAATTTAAAAAAATATAAAATTAATTTTAAATATTTTTTTACCGCTTCTCGTAATTCGATGCTAGAAAGAGATACAAAATCTTTCTTTTTTCAAGTTTTTATTTTTAAATTGGAAATAGCAATTTTGGTAATGTTGAAAAACCGAAAATAGAGCATTAGAAAGATAAACATTTCTATTTTAAATGCGTTCAAACTTTAAAGTTTTTGAAATAAAGAAAATCAATTAAATACTGCAGAGTTTTCAAGTTCATGTGATGTCATTGACAATCGTGGTCTGTGATAGATAGATGTTATAAATATCGACGGTAGTGTGTAGTGTATTTTGATATATACAGGGTGTCTCAAATAATAGGCTCGTTAGGAAAATTTTAAAATTTCAAAAAA